ACTAATGTGAATGTTCACATCATCTATGTTTACAAAAATCAATTCTGAAAACAACAACAGTTACAGGGCAATGTAAATGTTTACATGGGTGATCACATTATGTTATAATTTGCTAAAAATCAAAGGGTGGAACCAACAGCACCAAACAACACCCAACAACAGAAACAAGTCTAACATTGATGTCACAATGTGAATATTTACATCGTATTCCATCACATTGTTGAGTGAAGTTTGGGAGTTCTATGGACATCAACAATGAACAATATCAACAGTGACAGTAATGTGAACATTCACATCATTATACACTGATGTGAATGTTCACATCAGTGTCTACTACTATAAGTTTACCCAGTAATGAATACTAATGTGAATGTTCACATCATCTATGTTTACAAAATCAATTCTGAAAACATCTATGTTTACAAATTCAAATCCGAAAACAACAACAGTTATAGGGCAATGTAAATGTATACATCGGTGATCACATTATGATTGAAAAGCAGAAGGTGGAATGGTATTGCTTACTTTTGTTCCTCATGGTAGGTGGGTATGGACCATACTCAGTGGATGAAATAAACTCAATCCAACGACAGGAATTTACGAACGACGAAGCACCCTCCTTCTGATGTAAACCTTCACGGCGGTGAGATGAAGAGGAATCTGGGGTCGACAGTGGACGGTGGACGACGACGACGTTGGTGAGGCGATGTGAATCTAGGGTTACTGGAGGCGATGTGAATCTGGTTTCATGGATTCAGTTTTTGTTTTGGAAATTTTGTAGATTGAATAGTTGGAATGGGAATGGGTTTTGCAAAATCTATTACATGCGGGAGAGGTGGAGAAAGGTTATTTCGTCCTTTTACAATTAATGGACCTAATGGAATATTCAGAAATAGTTTGGGTTTTATGGAATAAAACAGTTACAAATAGGATTTATCAAAAAAGAGCTCTATTATAAAATGTTACATTTAAATGTGAAACGTTTTAAATGTATGCAAATTTGAGTGGATATAAAATCATAAAAGAAGTGATAAAATTTTTAAAAATAAAAAATATAGAGTGAAACTTTGCCATATAAATTAGATTAGATGCATCTAAAAAGTAAATTTAAATTAGGTACATGAAATAAGTAAACAAATTTGACTATAATAATGCCAAAAAAAAAAAAAATTTGACTACAAGAGAAAAAAAAATTACAAGATTAAAAAAAAGAACTCAAAAACTAGTTTTGAAAACTTATAACTAAACAAGTTTTGAATTCTAAAATCTCTAAAAACTATTTTCAAAATATATAACTTAAAACTAGTTTGAAAACTCATATCCAAACAAATTTCAATTTTCAAAACTCCTTTCAAAAATTTAAAATCTAAAATTAATTTCAAAACTAAACCAAACACAACCTACAGTTTTATTGGGGAGAATAGTGGGACCAGGGGTCATTACACTTTTGAATCATATTTTGATTTTGTATATTATTTATTTTTTTTAAAAAAAAAATTGTTTTGTTTTTGAGTTTAATACAATGGAGTCTTGTTTTAGTCAAAATCTGAAAAAAAAAAAAATTTAATATGTGTTAATAGGATACACCGTGCTTTTCACTAATTACAAATATATTTGACAATCTTTCGTCTCCCAAATAGTCAATATGAAAGTTATCCCCTCACTGCTAAACCAATTACAATAAAGAGAGGTGCCACATGACATACTCTCCTCAAACTCAAAAATTTTCCAAATTTTGAATACTTTAAAATTTTGTTTGTTTATAAAGTATTTTCTAACAAGAGAGGCATTTTAGATATTTTGCCTAATCTCATCATAAAATGAAACTCCAACAGTATAAAATAATTATGTTGATTTATCCTTTCTTAATTAATTATATTTGGAGAGTTTTGAAAACTAGGCAAATCGATTTCATGAGTTGAGACTATTGTTGAAGAACACATTGAGTAAAGTAGTTAAGCAAAATACATGATATATTTATTATGTACTTTTGTTAGAGAAAATGTCTATTTGTTCGACTTGCATTTACGTACAAGGTTGGCCTTATTGTTTGGTAATATTTTTGTTTTATGTTTATATTTTATACATAAAAAAATAAAAATAAATAAAACTTGTTCTGTGAACTATTTTTAGAAAAATTTCCTAAAAACAGTGTTCAATGATGAGGAATATAAAGACAAAAGCAAAAAAAAATAAATGAAGAGAAATTACAATGATGAGCAATTGTGTACTTTAAATTGATCAAGAGCAACAAATTAAAATGAAAGAAAATGCAAGCAAATTGCAGAGCCCATCCAAAAGCTTTGCCCTAAAATGCCATTGACAAAAAAATAGCTGAAGATTGCGTTTACATCTAAGCCATAGAACATCAAATGTACGCCATATAATAATAAAATCAATTTCAAATGTATACCATATAATAATAAAAGCAATTTGAAGTCAACATGATTAATATATCAAAAATGAAAGGACAACTCATTTATAATATACAACAAATGGATTTCCCTTCTTTTTTTCTTCTTATTTTTTTCCCTTTCATTTGTACAGTGCTGGAATTGCAGGGAACTTAAAATGCATACAAAATCAACATCTTTGATTGCCAGACACCGCATCAGGCCATCCAAAATCAATCGTCATCATCGGTTACTATAGTAGGAATTTGGCCGCGATCAACAAAGTCAATCCTATTCAGTCTCACGCAGCAAAGCACTTTCTCTGGCAATTCTTCTGGCTTCTGTGCCTGTTTGCAATTAAAAAAATTACAAATAAAAATATAACTATTTTAAGACAATGGAAAGCTTTGAGTGAACAGTTCAAGTAAGGTCCTTTTTTTTTTTTTTTTTTTTCTTCTTCTTTCTACGAGCTGCAATGAATTTAAAGGCCCAGAATTCCCATTGATGGTTTGTGTATCAAAATAAAAGTAAATAATACCTGGATTGTTAAACCCAGATGGAGTATTCCATTTTGTAAACGTTCTCGGAATGCTTCAAGTCCCTTCCTTGCTATATAACTGAATCGATGAATATCGAGGTCAATCTCAAAGTAATTGGGTCCCTGCATTAGACAGGAGAGTGAAAATCATAACGAATTTTAATAAACATAACTGATAATAAAATGGCAAATGCAAAGCAAATGTAAGTGCAATTGTGCAAGTAAAAAGAAGGATATGATGCTCCACCTGATAAAAATTGTGTTGCGGGCGTGAAAGGACTGGCTTCTCATTATAAGCATGTAAGAGCTTTCGTTCAGTAGAACTTGATACGAGTTCATCTGGATTGACCACCCCAACCATTATCTTTAGCCTTTCTCTGAAATGAACTGTGGTTTCTTTCGCAAACCCTTTAACCTTTTCCATATCATCCTCAACCAATCTCTGTATCATAAACTATTGTTTTTAACCAACTAGTAAAAAAATAATCGATCGAAACTCAAATGCAATAATTGCAAGTGCATAAAGCGAAACAATATGAAAAACTGAGTCAAACATTATGCATCTTACTCCAGCAAAAGCAATTTTGAGCCAAAAGCATTGGGCTATCAGTTTTTTATGGGGGTATACTTAAACACAAGTACCTTAATGCTGTCCTGAAATTGAGGAGAGATGTCTCTCTCGAAAGTCTCAGAAAGCTTGAAATATAGCACAAGGCTCAAGCCCTCCCCATCGTTATCTCCAAGAAACATTGGAGCAGGATAAGTAGGCAACTGCCACAAAGCTCAATAAGCCAACAGATAGACAATGAGAAACTGCTACGAATCAACAACTTTGAATTTAAACTGATAAAGTTTCATTTACATACTCCACTAGAATATCATGTCATCCACATACAGAAGTAACAAATTTAAATAGAAAATACATAAATGAAACAATAAGTGGAAATAGCACCTGAATATTGACAATTAAGAGAGAAGGCAGTTTCCCATCTGATTTTACAGTAGGAAGCTCAAGGTGTTGGGCAATGTGATTAACCTTTTTTGGGCACACAAATAAATCGATACCAATTGGAATGTAAGGACTGCAATTTGAAGCAGGGGCTTTCCGCTTATCTCTGCATATTGATTTGTCATACAATTAAATTCTATAACAAACATATGAACAAAACACATAGCTTGTCAACTGTTACACGTGAAATTAAAAGCATACTTAAAATAATTATCGCCACGCAGCTTAAAATTTGAGGGTTCAACCTCAGACCAAGATCCAGTAGTTGGATTCACTTCCTTGCAACATGGAATTTGAAGTCCTGCTCTGGGACGATAGAAGAATTTTTTAGCACCTGCACAAATAAGGATATGTATAAATAAATGCAATATAAAATTACTACCTTACATAACTGATAACGTACATTTACATTCACATAAAACCAAACTACAATACCACACTACCAATTCCTTGTCATGATGTGATTGTAAGGCAAAAGAATAGATTTAGTTAAGGTCGTTTTTAAAAAATTAGAAGTGAGACACTGGCTTGGAAAAATGACATTAGAAACGTACTTGGCTCATAAGAAAAAGAATCATCTGGACCCATTCCAAGAAAGTAATAATCAAGCATATATGAATTAGTAGTACACGTACCACATTCATTGGTATCTTCTGCATCAATAGATTGCCTCTTTAATGAAAGTCTGATAACTGTTGATTTCCTTCTTTGAAGTTGTTGAGCTGGACTTCTTGTATTGATTATCTTTTCATTAAAGCTAACAGAAGGAACTAGCCGAGCTAAGCCAGACTTCAAAAATTTCTGTTGGGTTTTCTCTTCGAAGTCATGTCTCACACAGTTAAAGCTTCCATAAGATCTATCTAATTTTGTCTTCCTCATGGTTGCAAATTCTTCAGCCTTTCCCAAGCATGCAACTTCATAGCCCTGGGCACTTACAAGTGCAAATTTGTTCGAGTCCTTGAATCCATCTTTGCTCAGAAACTTCTCCGTTTTAGCACCATCTATTTTCACAAACCTTTCATGGTATTCTTTGAATAACTTGTTATCCACAAAGCATGATGAAGTTTCATACTGATGCACTTGCCCGCTTGAAATTCTAGGGAAACAGTCTGCATGGGAAAAAGTAATACAAATAAAAATTCGTTCACATATACATGAGAGTTGGTAGTTACTTTACTAGTCAGTCCATCAATACACCAAGTCGTTTGGCATATTCATGAAGAAATATACACATGTAATTAGACCTGAGCAAAAACAAATTCTTTTGTAAATAAGAAAAATATAGGTGACCAAATGTGGCTCTGCCAAATCAATAAATGCGATGACACTGTAGCTAATATCTATGCCGCCATGTTAGTGACATACAACGTTTTCCGTTTTCCAGTTTTCACAGAAGGGAATATATCTATCAAACATAGTCAAAATGAAGTTGATATTTGTTACCTCCATGCACACTAATGAAGTCATCATCTGAGTCCGACTCCAGAATACTAAGTGAATCAAACCATGCTTCCTCTTGGCAAATTACTGAAAAGATGAATTTCTTGTGTCATTTCCAAGTTAATAAGCAATCTCTTGTAATAACTACAGACCTTCTTCAGAAGTTATTCTTTGTGATGGAGAAGATTAAAGAAAAGGTACGCTTGATTCATAGGCATAAGCAAGCAACAGGACTAGCACATGAATGAAGAAACGTGATGCAAGATATATAAATATAAACATGCATAAACTGCTGGACCCCTATTCCATCACAAACAACAATTAATCCATGAAGAAACTCAATTAGGAACAGAATATAAACTAAAAATTATCGACGGATACCAAATATACACAGCCATTGATCAATTCTTTGTGCCATCAGATAATTAAAGATCACATAGCTTGGAACATATTCTAAATTAATACCAAACAACCTATTATAGGCACAATCGAAGTCTAATCAAGTACAATCTCATTGTTGTCGGGGAAATTATATTCTAAAATAATTAAACTCTAAAAAGGGAATAAAGAATATACCATTAGAATCAACCTGACTATGGTGCCATTGCAACTGGGTGACATGGATTGTTGAATTGGAACCCTCAGATCTTCTGCAGGTGGTTGTTGTTTGTACAAACTCACTAACAGCAAAATCTGTTATATGAGTTCCTGCATTACTATTCGTTTTCTTTGTTCCATCAGGAATGTATTTAGAAAGCCTTCCAAGCCTTCTTTTTCCGGACCGGCGATGGAATTTCCTCTGTGATTTGATTGTGTGAGATGGCGTGGATAGACAAGCACCCATTATGAATAACTAGCTTTACAAATGCTAACGAGATATTTTATTCATATGAGATGCCCAACCTCACAGTGATACTGCAAACCAAAAAAATAAAAATAAAAATAAAAAAGAGGTACCAGTTACATCACATTGGAGCATCCAATAAATTTCAAATACAGCAGTTGCATCTACCAAAATGCATAACAAGAACATTGTGTTTCTTCCATTCCTTAAGTCAGGTTCAATGGCTACCAAGCTAAGTGATCTACTCAATCAAGCAATAGTTGGTGTTAGTAATTGAAGACCCTAAAGAGACAATGTCAATATGCACTGTCCAAATTGTAAGCATGGTACATAGTTTGACCTGGGAGACTTCTGAGTTCTATGCATAAAATTTATCCAGATCATATGATCAAACAGCCAGCTATAGTAACTTCTCAAATCACTTTCCCATGACGGGTTGGCCCAAAAACATATTAACAACCTCTTCAATACATAAAATGCAGGTAAAAACTTGACCATGTTGACCCAAAATGTGAGATCCATCAAACAGAAGCTTTGAAAATGTTACTAGTGAGAGGCCTAAAACCCAAAATCATCACTCAACCAGAAACATGATAAAACAATTTTACAACCACGTCAATAAAATTTATAAGCAAATAAAGATTAAGGAAACAGAAAGCTTACCAGTGATAAAGTAACAAAAGGACTCAACACTTGTCAAATACGCATGTGGATCTCAGAAACATAACATCCTTGTATCATTTATTCGAGCAAATGTCATCATGTAATGCATTTTATAAAAGAGCTTACCTTAGCGAACAGTAGCCATCTAAGAGTAAAACCAAAACTGATGTGAGCACTGCTAGCAAGAGAGTGAACAAGAGATAGTGATCCTAACACCAAAAATTTCAGGTCAAAGGTTTGACTTCTCCATATAACCTGCAGGACCCAAAAAAAACAAAAAACAAATGGAAGCATTCAAATTCATGATTCTTATGAATCCACAACAAATAAAATTCAAATTGAACATTTGAACGCAATTCCAAACTAATTAGTAGATAATTTTCCTAGCAAAAGCAATATCAAAGATTTTTCAACTGCTGCAGAAATAATTATCCTTGAAGCAAATAAGTAAAACAAAAAAATGCAGAAAAAGTCCAACATGCCTTTCAAATAATTCCAGAGTGTTACAGAGAAACAAGAGAGAGGGTATAGGGGTTGGAAATGACTCTGCTCTATGCACTTTCAAAGATAAAATGTGCGTGTGTGTGTGTGTGTGTGTGAGTGGAGAGAGAGAGTTGGCAATTGGGTCCACATGCAAAAAGCAAAAGAAGACAAAAATCCTTAATGTTGTGTTTGGTTAGAGGATTTGAGGAGGGATTTGGAAAGGAAAATGGAAAAGATAGGTGAAATATGAAGAAAACATGCCTAAATTTCACCTAGTTTCACACATCTTTTCCCTTTCCCTTTCCAAATCCCTCTCTAAATCTCCCAACTAAACACAGCATAAGTGTTGAGAAGATTGCATAAAGCTATAAACAAACACAAAGAACAAAAAGTAGTTGCTGTGAAGAAAAAAGTTAAAAGAATAATATAACATGAAAAGGAGAGAGAAGACAAAATGTGGATCAAAGAACAATGAAGGAATTGACATAAACTAAACCAGAAAAGGAACACAGATCGGTACAAGCACACATGCATGTATCTATCGGCAAATTTTAAATCCGTAATCATTTCTTTTCATCATATTCAAATTTGATAAAACAGTAATGTTAGGAACACAGAAATTTCAAGTACAAAATATACAGATGAGAAACAAAAAAAATTTATATTTGTAGTTGCAAACATGTTTGCGAATATATGTGTCACATTTGTGCATTATGCGTTTGAAACTTTCTGCCTTCCGAAACTTTTCTTTATGAAAAAATGACCAAAATATTCTCCAACCATTTCGTCAGTCAACCTCCCTTCCCCAAATTTCTGGCAGTCATATTTTTACTCAAATCTAATGAGATTTAAATAATAATAATAATAATAATAATAATAATAAAAAAAAAAAGGTAAGAATTGTAAATTTTCGTAAAAAATGGTTAAAATATACTTGTGAGGATAAGTTTAAAATTTTTCAAAAATATTTGATAAATAAAAAATAATAAGAATGTTCCAATCAAAATTTTAATTAAATTTTTACTCAAATTTAATGGAAAAACAAGAAAAAGTAAGGATTAGAGATGCTCTAACCCCTGTTAAAAGATAAAATCAAAGAGTGAAAGAGGAAGATGGAAGATGGAAGAGGGGTGTGGATAGGGTCTCCCTCTCTGAGCAACGACAAGAAGTGCCGGCGCCGGGAGAGAGACACAAACTCCGAGACTGCGACTGCGTCTGTGTCTGATCCGATGTTGCAATTTCAACCCAAAGAGATTCAGCACCAAATGAGGGAGGAGAGAGAAGTTTCTATGACTTTTATTTATTTATATGTTTTTTGAGTTTGATTTCTTTTTTTTCTTTTTTTTTTGAATGAATGAATGAATGGTTTTTATTGAGAGATTATTACAGAACCGAGTGTTTTTCCCCTGCAATTTTAAGCTCTATTTTTGTCTGTGATTTCGCGGCGAGAATTGCGACACAATGTGTTACTTATTTGGCAAGGGTAGTTTACCGTTGAAATTAGTATAACGTGGATAAAATGCATTTTTTTATTTTATTTATTTTTTTAATTCATTACTTCTATCTATCGATCTACGTACTAAATAAATGACACGACACAACTCACAACATTTTTTAAAAATAAAATAAAATAAAATTGGGCATTTGTATTTACACCGCAAATTACAACACTCATCCTTAATTTTTTGGATAAATTACAAACACCTCCTCGAGATTTGGTAAAAATATAAATTCCCCCTGAGGTTTGAGAAATTATAAATTTTCCCTTGAGGGTCAAATTTTCATAACAAATTGGGAAAAATTATGGGGAAATCTGTATGAAAATAAAAATCTCAGAGGGCAATTTGTTATGAAAATATAAACCTCAGTGGGCGGGATGTAATTTCTCAAACCTCAGAGGAGAATTTATATTTTCACCAAACCTCGAGGGGGGTGTTTGTAATTTGCCCTAATTTTTTTAATTGCAATTTTATTTTTATACAAAATTATTAAAAAATACTAAAATCTTAAATTGTGAAATTAATTTCCCTACTTGTGCTCTTCTTGGTTTAAGGATCCTCTGTTTCAAAATATTCCTGTCCCCCTATCCCAATTCACTCACAACCATTAGACATGTCTTGAGATTTTTAAATTTTGGGATTCTCATTTGATCCAATAGTTGTGAATGAATTGAGACAGAAGAACATGAATATTTGGGGACAAAGAATCCTTACTACTCTTCTTGCTATCTGTTGTACATTACTATCTCCTTCCACTGGTAGTTCTCATCTATCTTTCTCTCTACAATTCTCTTTCGTTGCCTCTCTAGCCACATCTCAACCCTATCACCCTCGCTTCCTTACAACCACTCATCTCTTCGCTAACACACCACCTACAAAACTTTCTATGATAGACACTACCTGCAACTTCCTCCTCCCCACCCTCGCTGTTATTTCCCTTCTACTGTCAGTGGCGTAGTTAGGGATTTCCTTTAGCGGGGTCATTTAACAAAGTATCATCAATGTCATATATCATATTTTTAGTTCCACACAATCTGTCAACATTAACATTCACATAATACTCTGTAAATTTCATATATTCCCAAATCACATTGACAAAAGTAACTCAAACTAGTGAAATTACAAGTAAAAACAAGATATTAGGATATTAACACCATTACTTCAACAAAAATAAGTAAACATCTATAATACTACTAGGATCAATTTCTAAAGTTTAAAAATTAATTTATTTTATTTAGACCCACTAGATTCAATTTGTAAATATTCATAATTTTTTATATATACTTTATCAAAAATTTGAAGTTCAATGGTGTCAATTGACACCACTGTTTAAAGGATAACTCTGCCCCTGTCTACGGCACCTCTTCCTTGCCCTTCCTTTGTTGATGCCTGCCACCCTCTCGTTCTTTGCGCTTCTTAACACCCCTACCTTATTCCTTTACTCATTTTTCAAATTTTCCCTCCAAATATGCAACTCCCAGCCCTTACCTCCCATCATCAAGCTTTGTCACACAAATTTTGTGTTTAAAATGTTAGTATTATTAATAATTTAAATAAATAATTGCTAATTATTTTTAAATTTAATATAATTTATTTTATTTAGACCCACTAGGTTCAATTTGTAAATATTCATAATTTTTTACATATACTTTATCAAAAATTTGAAGTTCAATGGTGTCAATTGACACCACTGTTTAAAGTATAACCCTGCCCCTGTCTACGGCGCCTCTTCCTTGCCCTTCCTTTGTTGATGCCTGCCGCCCTCTCGTTCTTTGCTCTTCTTAACACCTCTACCTTATTCCTTTACTCATTTTTCAAATTTTCCCTCCAAATATGCAACTCCCAGCCCTTACCTCCCATCATCAAGCTTTGTCACACAAATTTTGTGTTTAAAATGTTAGTATTATTAATAATTTAAATAAATAATTGCTAATTATTTTTAAATTTAATATATCGTCTTCATTCATTAAGTCAACAAAAAATTTAAATGTAAATTTATAAAGATATCAAGTTCACGCACCCTAATTTATTGGTATGTATGTGTCATTTATATTTGATAGTATGATTTCTGATGGGACTTATATTGTGCGATAACTATTTAAGAAAATAACAACATACAATATAAAATTTTATACACAAATAATTTGTTTATTAAGGATAGTGAAATTTATGATAAGATTCACAAATTCAACTGAACATGATTGAATTTTTCTTCAATTAGATTGAAATTAATTTCTTTTTACATATATAAATCTCACATGATCTGTCTGGACTCTAATGCGAGAATAAATAATAGACTAAGATTTGGTTTGGTATGTTTGAAAAAAGTCAAAAAGTCACTATCTTATTTAAATCATATCATTTTATTTAAATCATATCACATCTCTAACACATTATTTCAAATCCAATTCAAACCTAATTTATATTTCATAAAAAGTCAAAAAGTACACTTATTTAAATCATCTCAAATAAACCCTAAGGCCATGTTTGATTCACAACACTAATAGTGAGTTATTAATAATCTTATTAAATTAGTGTGGTATTAGTTATCCCACCCCTACCCCATTACTAATAATCCTACAAACTTGTTGGATTAATTATCCATTGGATTAATAATTCTAAACCAAAATGTCAAAACAAATATAGGATTATTGGGCCCACAGATTTGGTTTGGTATGTTTGAAAAAAGTCAAAAAGTCACTATCCTATTTAAATCATATCATCTTATTTAAATCACATCACCTCTCTAACACATTACTTCAAACCCAATCCAAACCTAACTTATATTTTATAAAAAGTCAAAAAGTACACTTATTTAAATCATCCCAAATAAGTCCTAAGTATAAAAATGAACACACAAACATTATAGATCCGTTTAATTTTGCAAGTTCAAAATGTTGGTTGTGCGTTAAGCATTACATCTTGAACAATCCAATCTAAAAATATACACACCTTATATTTATTTACATTTTATCGCCTCGCCATCTTCTTAACTTTCACCATCCCAATATAAGGATGGAGAACGGGACACGACAAATCCGTCTAGCTGTCATTCGTACATTCACTCAAGTGAGAGAAGTTAGAGAGAGAATCGGATAGATAGCTCACATGGAAGAAGTGGATGAGCAATAAGTGAATGGTGTGCACTTTGAGGCTAATAAAAAAAATTCTTGTTATATATGCTTGTATTATTGAAACTATGAGGTCAGATGAATTACTAGAACCACGTGCACATGTTTAGTGGTACATTATTATCCACTCACATTCTGACATTATATATATATATATATATATATATATTATGTTTATTTTTTTTAGGCATTTGCAAATGGTTTGAAAATCAAGAAAAAAAAATAGCGTTCGGTTCATGAATATTATACGATAATATATGACATTTGTATGAGTGATTTTCTGACTATACTGTTAAATAAGTATTCAGTTAGAGAGTACTGATAGAATAAATTAAACCCGAACAATCTGCAACAGAAAGAAGAGTTTCCGGAGGTGGCTCGTCCACGCGGGACACTCCGATGATCAAGTCAGTACTCAATATCTCTCAAAGATAACCAATAGTGCTTAACTCACTAGACAGAATATCAAAAACATACCTTAGATCCATGGGGTGCCTCCCTTTTATAGCCAACACAATCCTAATCCCAATAGAAGTCTAACTCTAATGGATTTAGGATTACTGCAAATCTTGGACTCCCAGTAGAATTAGAATAAACTCTCCAAGAGTGTCATCTTTACCCAAACTGAAATCTTCTCCCATTCTAGGACTCTTGTCCCTTATCCGCTTATCTCGGATTCCGGTATTCTCGCAGATAACCTCGGCGTCATGACCAGGACACGTGGCATCTCAACTGGCACTTCGGAGACACCTCGGCCACGTGTTGTCATTCAAAAATTATGTCACCACAACTGCCCCCTAGGTTCTATTACCTCGGCATCCTGAGGTGATGAAACCTATACATGTACTCCTCCGGCTGAGTTCAGGGCTTGTCGGCGCCAAGAATTTAGGACTCATATGTCCACTCATCAAGAATTAAGAATCAAGAATCATCATGTTCTTTCTCATCCAGGTTCAACATCTCAACAGAGATCACACTATCATCAGAGATTACCAATCACACCCTCATTGTGTCGCATCAGTTCTGCCCCCCGCCATCTGACGTCAGCATGGGCACGTCAGGATTTCTAATTCCAACGAAACCATTTCATTTCTTTCTGTGTCCTTAGACTCTCTTTCTTTTTATTCTTCCAAATCTGCCATGTTTCAAGCTCTCAAGCTCTGCAACCACTTCCATTCTTCTCCTCCGGTGAAGCTTTTGCTGATCCTTTTCGATTGCTTCCGTCACCTGACTCCGGCATACTGAACACCGGCTTCAGTTTCTTCGGTAAGTTATTCCTTTTTTCCCCTCTTTACTTTCATACCTTGTTGTCTCTGCTTGTTTGCCATGTTTGAACATATCCATCTGCTCCTGTCCCTAAGGATTCTCCTCTCAAGAATGCTAGCAACCTCGTCCTGTCATTCCCTCCATCTCCAAGCCAGTCTGAAGATGAAGCTGAGTCTGAGGATCAGACTGAGGCTGAGAAAAAATGAAGAAGCTGATAAGGCCAAGTCTTCAACTCTGAATGAGCAAGTCTTCGACTTGACTCAGGATGAAGGGGATGCTGCACGACGTTGTTCTGCATCAGGAAATTGACGACCGTTTGCAGGTCCGCCAATTTGTCCGTCATTCCCTTTATCTCGTCGTCCCTCCGCAGGTATCTATCCTTCCATACCTGGAGGTCGTCCTCGTTGTAAAACCCGCTCCGGTCCGTTTTTTTTGGTTTGTCACTCTCCTGGCCGACGTCCTTTCCTTCGTGATTCTTATCACGAGTCTCTTCGTTGCAGTTGATTTCTTCAACGTCAGAGTCAATATGTTTCCTATTCTTAGTAGGGGTGTCGACCCCAACCTTCACTTTCTGTCCGTCGTTGGCCATCTATTCTCCTTTTTTTCCCACAAACGGTGCCAAATTGTGTGGGTGATTTTCTAACCACACTGCCAAACAGGTACTCAACTGGAGAGCACCGGCAGAATAGATTAAGCCCGAACGACCTACAACAGAAAGAAGAGTTTCTGGCGGTGGCTCGTCCACCCGGGGGCACTCCGACGATCAAGTCAGTATTCAATATCTCTCAAAGATAACCAATAGTGCTTAACTCACTAGACAGAATATCAAAAGCATACCTTAGACCCATGGGGGTGCCTCCCTTTTATAGCCAATACAATCTTAGTCCCAATAGAAGTCTAGCTCTAATTGACTTAGGATTATTGCTAATCTTGGACTCCCAGTAGAATTAGGATAAATTCTCTAAGAAACACTGTTTGGGAAGCAAGGATTGAGGCTAATATAGCCTCATTTGCAATATAAGCCAAAAAGCCCCGCTATTCAACCTTTTTCATTAAAAAATATATATATATATATATAGGTGCAGCTGTCGGCAGTGTAGGCACAGCCTACACTGTCAGCTAGACAACTTGTTACATCAATGGGTAAATTACAATTTTACCCCTTTACATCAATTTAAAAAAATATATTTTTAGGGACAAATTTGTCATTTTAATTTCAAGCATCATTTCAACACATTTTTCAATACAACAACTCAAATAAAATCTATCTCATCTTCCCAAACACAAAAAATAAAATAGCCTACTAAAATAGCCAAAAAGCCAAATAGCCTACTAAAATAGCCACTTTCCAAACGAGGCCAGAGTCTCATCTTTACCTAAACTGAAATCTTCTCCCATTTTAAGACTCTTGTCCCTTATCTGCTTATCTCGGATTCCGGTATTCTCGCAGATAACCTCGGCCTAGCCGAGATTATCTCGACGTTATGACCAGGACACGTGGCACCTCGGCTGGCACTTCGATGACATCTCGGCCGACACATCGGTGACACTTCGGCCACGTGTTGTCATTCAAAAATTATGTCCCCACAACATTTTTTTTGTCAATGAAAGTACACATTAAGTGAATTATCATTTATTTTTTAATTACTTAACAATGATAATTTAATATATCGTACTCATAAAATATTTTTCTACATGATTAATTTTGGACATCAAGTAACCAATGTACTCCAATACTAGTTCTTTCTTTCTCCTGAATCATTAAATGTGTTCTTAAAGGCTTCAAAACTTTGCATGTAACCAAAACTTGCATAGGCACCATTCGATACAACTTATGAAGTTGTTTAAGAAGAGATCCAAGCCCATTGGCTATAAAGTCTATTTCAATATGGTGATGACCTAGACTCCCAGTTGGAGTTGACTCCCAACACCCCACATTAGGGGTGTGCGCGGTGCGGGTCGGTGCGGTTTGAGAGAAAAATAGAAACCGTATGGCGGGTGGCGGATTGATAAAAGTGTCACTAGAATTTGCCATTTTCCTTATCAAAAACCGGCGGTTCGGTTGGCAAATAATGGTGGATTTGCCTTGGCGGTTCGGGCGGATTGGCGGTTTATAAAAAATATAATTCAAATTACAAAACTTAAACAGAACGGGAGCTCGTTCCTCCCGGGGCGTTCGGGGACGTCTACAGCAGCCTACACTGTCAGCTAGACAACTTGTTACATCAATGGGTAAATTACAATTTTACCCCTTTACATCAATTTAAAAAAATATATTTTTAGGGACAAATTTGTCATTTTAATTTCAAACATCATTTCAACACATTTTTCAATACAACAACTCAAATAAAATCTATCTCATCTTCCCAAACACAAAAACTAAAATAGCCTACTAAAATAGCCAAAAAGCCAAATAGCCTACTAAAATAGCCACTTCCCAAACGAGGCCAGAGTCTCATCTTTACCTAAACTGAAATCTTCTCCCATTCTAAGACTCTTGTCCCTTATCTGCTTATCTCGGATTCCGGTATTCTCGCAGATAACCTCGGCCTAGCCGAGATTACCTCGGCGTCATGACCAGGACACGTGGCACCTCGGCTGGCACTTCGGTGACACCTCGGCCGACACATCGGTGACACTTCGGCCACGTGTTGTCATTCAAAAATTATGTCCCCACAACATTTTTTTTGTCAATGAAAGCACACATTAAGTGAATTATCATTTATTTTTTAATTACTTAACAAAGATAATTTAATATATCGTACTCATAAAATATTTTTCTACATGATTAATTTTGGACATCAAGTAACCAATGTACTCCAATATTAGTTCTTTCTTAAAAGCTTCAAAACTTTGCATGTAACCAAAACTAGCATAGGCACCATTCGATACAACTTATGAAGTTGTTCAAGAAGAGATCCAAGCCCATTGGCTATAAAGTCTATTTCAATATGGTGATGACCCAGACTCCCAGTTGGAGTTGACTCCCAGCACCCCCACATACACGGGAGGGACAACAAAAGGAGGATAAAAAATAAAAAAAATATAGATTATTTAGAATTCATTGTAGGTGATGGGGTCACCTCCAGTGAGAGTCTCACTCTTTTTCATTTCAATACGAGAGGTGCATTAGGGGAATTTATCACATGTCCTCTCTCATGCTCTTTTCTTAGTTTCTTTAAATTTTATTGTCAGCAAAAGTAATTTCATAAACTTATAATCAAGAAAAACAAAAAAACATAAAGATGGACAAATAATATAAAATTATAAGGGTGTACGAAGCCTTACCATCACTTTAAAAAGGGACATCCATAATATTATTATCAAAATTGACTCTATGCTTGGTTTGGGAAGCCAAGAACTAGATTTTTTTAGTTATTTTAGTTGTAAAAAATAAAATAAGTTTTTTAATTTAATAAGATAAGTCATTACATTAAATTCATAATTATTACAATTTTTTTCTTACAAAAAAGTTTAAAAAATAAAAAAAAAAAGTCAAAAGCCAAAAGCCAAAAGCCAAAAGCCTTTCACAAATCAGACTTTTTAACCTCAAATTAAAATAGTTAAAAAAGTTAAAAAACTAAAAAATCAATCCACTTTCCTAACGAACTAAGTTATTGATCAACTTTATCAGAGAAAGTTCTTACCCTTCTCCCCATCATCCTCATGAATTAGGAGGGGTTACGGTTTGATTTTGGACGTTTTGTGGATTGATTTGGATTTGTCCGCATGCATGCGATTTGGGAAAATTTCAATCCAACCGCTCGCAGTGCGAGTTGTGGTTTCTACGAATATGGTTTGCGAATGTGTGGACGGTTTGCGGATTGAATTTTTTTTTTAAAATCTATTTTGGAGCATCTTTTTTTTCATTTTGTAAATATTTATTTTGGGCTCTTTTTCCTCCCATTTTCTGAAATGCTCAAACATTAATAATTAATGCATTAAAAATTATAAAATTAAAAACACCACAAAATTAATTCCTAACACAAACAAATCATTCAAAATCCTAAATTTTTAAATCAAATTATAAACTAATACAAGTACATATTTCAAAATCCTAAACTAGATCATCAATCTCATTCACTATCTACTACCCAACAATAAAATTAAAATAAAATCAGTTAAAATCCTAAGCTTACTTAAAAGCAATTCTTCATTAACTTTTACATTCATCCAAAATGCAATAATAAAATAACAACGGTTCAATTTATTTATTTATTTTAAAAAAAGGTCTAAGTACGGACGGATTCTTGAGAGTGCAGGTTAAACCTACAACCCGCAATCATGCCATATTTCAAACCGCATCCGCTTACATTATGTCTGCAAAATTATCGATTTGTATGCAAATCGATCTGAGTTAAGCGGGTTATGCGGTTCGAATAACCCTATAACTGGCCCTATCACAAGTCATCATGCACATCTAGAAAAACATCAAATTTATCATGCAAATGTTCTATTATTCACAGTACGAAAGAGGGTAACAAATTTGTTAGGAGCACCTTGTTGGCTTCTTAGAGACGAATCAAGGGGGATACGTGTTGCAAGCACGATAATCACTTCTTTATATTTAAGTTTTAAAAAGATATGTTACTTAGACACCTGTGAATAATTTAAATATGTAATTTGATCGTCTCTAAGGTTGTAGGTACGAGATCCTCTAATTTCATTTTTTTATTGTCTTATCTTAATGTATTTAAAATATGAAATTTATTGACACAAGATAAAATTTTTAAGAAAAAGAAAATATTTAGCCAAGTAGTGGTAGAGGCTCGAGATTTTTTAAGAATTCAAGCTAATATATCAAAATAAAATCTTGTTTTATTGAACTTTTAAGAATTTGTTCTTGTTTGGTTAAATTTTTGAAAATTGTTTTTGAGCTTTTCAGTTTTTATGAAACTTTTTATCTAAAAAAATATAAAAAAAAAACCTGGAAAAAAAATTTAAATTTAAACACAAAAAAAATAAAAAATAAAAAACTCACCAAAATTTAAATTTGAACTCCAAACAAAGCATCCATATAAAAATCCGTGGGCCTTAGGCCCAATAAACTGAAAAGCCCACAATGATACAAGTCAATTGCATGCATATATATACCCAATCGTAGATCTACGATCAATTCTACAAATTTTCTCGTTGTTTTGGAGGGATTTGATTTGGTAGAAGAATTCTCTGCAAATTTCGATTCGACGAAGCTCTTTTTTCTGTAAGTTCATCAATCTCTGCCTCTTATTGGGTATTGAAAGTTGTGGTTTTTTGCTGTTGGATTTTGCTGGGTTTTGTTTTTGGAGATCAGATCTGTGGCATATAGGCTTGTTTTGATTGCTATTGATTTGAAAGTTGATAGCTTTCCCATTTTATTCCCAAGAAATTGAGTACCCACTTTCAATAAATTAGGGTTTGTGTTACAGCTGTGTCCAATTTTTCATTTTAATGGTTTCTCCTTAAATTTAAAATTTCTTGATGACTGTCACTTCTTTTTTGTTTTTATTGAGAGAATCAAGTAAAATTGTATTTGTTTTGATGGTAGTTGTTAATGTAGGGATTGTTAAATTATTACTCCATAAAAGAAATATAAAATATTAAAAAAATAAAATTATGATTTTTACTTAACAAAAAATACAAAAACATTAAACCTTAATGTTAAAAAAATGCCCAACATGTAAACAACCAAAAATAAAAAATAAAAAAAATAATCTCATGGGACTAATTTCCTAATATCACCTCCACCTCCTCCATCTCAATCCCAACACCAAGGCCCATCCTAATCCCATGGGATTATGAATCCCCTCTCCATCTCTCAAAACAAACACAACATATGGTGGATTCCACCTCCATCTCAATCTCAATCCCACCTCCATCTCTCAAAACAAACGGAGCCTAATGGCCAGTCAGACACCTAGATAGACAGGCACCCTACCCTCACCAACTCAACTTCATGTAACATAGTATTAGATAAACTTTCAAGAAGACATTTTTTTACTTAAGTTTGCCTACCAAGAAAAAAGTCGTCCCTAAATTTTAGTTCTACTTTTGCTTTCTTTTTTCTTAGAACAAAGTCAAAGGCCTTTGGAGCCTGGTTAGCTTGTTGCTCTATCTGACGTGTGTCTCTCTCTAGAAATAGCACTAGCATGAAGACCCTAGGGATTGCCACATAGAGAAAAAAGGTTAACTAAAACTCATGAAAATCTTTAGTTGAAACTTCTCAAAATATGCAATACCATATTTTGTGTTTTCAAATTACAGGGAGAGTGCTGGGCAATGTTTGTAAAAGCATAATAGTAGAAGTGTTTTTAATTGTTAGAGTGAAATGCAAATACTAAAGTGTGCTTTTTTCATAAGCTTAAAGTGCACTTTTTGCACTTTTTATTTTTTTTTAAAAAATATATAATTTATTAGTTTTTTATTTTTTATTTTTTATTTTTAAATCATGATTGTTTTGAATAGGCCCTTGTTTTGTTATACAAATATCAATATTACGGTATGATACACTATCAATATTATGGTATGGTAACAAATACCATTTCAGTACTTTTTGGTCTTTGCCTTTTGGGTATATTTTGATTCAACCATGTATTTCATTTGGATCGCGGTTGTCAATATTTTGTAAAGCACACGAGAAACTGCTAATAATTCGTGTTTAAATTTTATATGATTATATGGTCACTTGACTATCATATTATCTATTACTAATTGTTTTCAAATTTAGTTCATAGAATTTTAAGAAATTGAACAAACCTGTGTCACTGTGTAAAATTATGCCTGCAACCTTTGTACAATTACAACTATTTTAGTTAACAGGATATATATATTGCTATTTGATTTTTTTGAATTATATATTATGAATCTATTTTCAGGATATATTATCAAGCATATGCTTTGCCAATAGGCTCTAGGAGGCCTTTTCACTTGAGTACATCTCATGCTTTTACCAACATTGGCATGGGGAGTCAGAAGGCTTGAGTTGTTTACAAAGCTTTGATGTGTTAAGTGAGTCTTTGGAAGAGACTGGTGGTAGGAAAATATGGCAATGAGTGGGGTAATGGGCTACTGGTGCTGAGAGAGGACCTTATAGGATGGAGGTTTGGAAAGGTATTATGAGAGTTTGGGATGTCTCTAAGCATTTATTCTCCTAAAGTGGGTAATAGTGGTAGATTTGGATTGTAGCTTGATTCTTGGTGTGCATGCAGAGCATCAAGAAATTTATTTCCAAACCTTACCGATTGGCTATGTATGGGTCTTAAAAATAACAAATCCAATCACATTAGTTTGGTTTTTAAGTTAAGCAAGAGTAACTCGAGCCAGCCAAAGACCCCGATTATATATATATATATATTATGTTGAGTTGTCTTCTTATATGTTTAGTGGATACTTCAAATTTGAGCTAAAGTGTCAAATTTGAAGCCATATGTCTTGGTATGGGAGAGTAGGCGTTTGGACATGTGACTTAGATAGGTAGTGGGTGGGTTTCTCACACCCCACCAAGGATAAAAAGGAACACATTTCTAATTTTTAATAGAATTCCCTAAGTTACCATCAAGGCTTTATATAGCAGTATCACGTGTTGAATTGGTTTTGGTTGTGGTGTAGCAGCATCATGATTCATGAGTATTGAGCAATACATACAAAAAATCAGTAAATGCAATTTTGAATTTTAAAAAAATCACATATGCAAAAAAAATTGCTTTATAGCAGCCATAGCGAGCGTAGCGTTTGTGAACCATCAGTTATGAACCAATATGTATCGCATATCAGATGATATACAAATGACTTTCAGTTGTGTTGAATTACAAGTTGTGTTGCTTGTAAACATGAATTACTGTAAGGTCTTGTTTGTTTTTAGAGATAGAATGGAGGGGATTGATAGGAAGGGGATTGATAGCGAGGGGATTAGTGGTGAGGGGATTGTTAGTGAGAGAATCAAGTAAAATTGTATTTGTTTTGATGGTAGTTGTTAATGTAGAGATTGTTAAATTATTACTCCATAAAAGAAATATAAAATATTAAAAAAATAAAATTATGATTTTTACTTAACAAAAAATACAAAAACATTAAACCTTAATGTTAAAAAAATGCCCAACATGTAAACAACCAAAAATAAAAAATAAAAAAAATAATCTCATGGGACTAATTTCCTAATATCACCTCCACCTCCTCCATCTCAATCCCAACACCAAGGCCCATCCTAATCCCATGGGATTATGAATCCCCTCTCCATCTCTCAAAACAAACACAACATATGGTGGATTCCACCTCCATCTCAATCTCAATCCCACCTCCATCTCTCAAAACAAACGGAGCCTAATGGCCAGTCAGACACCTAGATAGACAGGCACCCTACCCTCACCAACTCAACTTCATGTAACATAGTATTAGATAAACTTTCAAGAAGACATTTTTTTACTTAAGTTTGCCTACCAAGAAAAAAGTCGTCCCTAAATTTTAGTTCTACTTTTGCTTTCTTTTTTCTTAGAACAAAGTCAAAGGCCTTTGGAGCCTGGTTAGCTTGTTGCTCTATCTGACGTGTGTCTCTCTCTAGAAATAGCACTAGCATGAAGACCCTAGGGATTGCCACATAGAGAAAAAAGGTTAACTAAAACTCATGAAAATCTTTAGTTGAAACTTCTCAAAATATGCAATACCATATTTTGTGTTTTCAAATTACAGGGAGAGTGCTGGGCAATGTTTGTAAAAGCATAATAGTAGAAGTGTTTTTAATTGTTAGAGTGAAATGCAAATACTAAAGTGTGCTTTTTTCATAAGCTTAAAGTGCACTTTTTGCACTTTTTATTTTTTTTTTAAAAATATATAATTTATTAGTTTTTTATTTTTTTTTTATTATTTTTAAATCATGATTGTTTTGAATAGGCCCTTGTTTTGTTATACAAATATCAATATTACGGTATGATACACTATCAATATTATGGTATGGTAACAAATACCATTTCAGTACTTTTTGGTCTTTGCCTTTTGGGTATATTTTGATTCAACCATGTATTTCATTTGGATCACGGTTGTCAATATTTTGTAAAGCACACGAGAAACTGCTAATAATTCGTGTTTAAATTTTATATGATTATATGGTCACTTGACTATCATATTATCTATTACTAATTGTTTTCAAATTTAGTTCATAGAATTTTAAGAAATTGAACAAACCTGTGTCACTGTGTAAAATTATGCCTGCAACCTTTGTACAATTACAACTATTTTAGTTAACAGGATATATATATTGCTATTTGATTTTTTTGAATTATATATTATGAATCTATTTTCAGGATATATTATCAAGCATATGCTTTGCCAATAGGCTCTAGGAGGCCTTTTCACTTGAGTACATCTCATGCTTTTACCAACATTGGCATGGGGAGTCAGAAGGCTTGAGTTGTTTACAAAGCTTTGATGTGTTAAGTGAGTCTTTGGAAGAGACTGGTGGTAGGAAAATATGGCAATGAGTGGGGTAATGGGCTACTGGTGCTGAGAGAGGACCTTATAGGATGGAGGTTTGGAAAGGTATTATGAGAGTTTGGGATGTCTCTAAGCATTTATTCTCCTAAAGTGGGTAATAGTGGTAGATTTGGATTGTAGCTTGATTCTTGGTGTGCATGCAGAGCATCAAGAAATTTATTTCCAAACCTTACCGATTGGCTATGTACAAAGAGCATTAATCTTATGTTTCTCTTTTAGTTTAGATAATAAGGATGGTATAGGCACCTCTGTTTGGGAGGCCCACATGGTAGAATTTTTTGGCATGATAGTTTGGTTCATGGGTGATCAAAGATGTGATTGCCCAGAGATTTTGAGAAATGTGACTCTTATTGTTTGCATTTTTTCAGTCCTAATGTAGTCTTGTGTAGCCTTTGCATTCTTTTGAAAGGGATTTGGAGGAGTAAGGCCCCTCTGATGGTGGCTTTCCTTGCTCGTACAACAACTCATGAGGCTATTTTGACAATAGACAATCTTAGGCTTTGTTAACTTACTAAAGAAAGCTCATTTAGACAAATCTAGGGAAGTGCTACTAATAGCAAAAGTATAACATCTATCCTCCCATTCTGGTTGTATTGGTAGGCAAAAAGTGATTATGGAGTGGTGTTGTATGTGTTGGAAGGTAGGGGAAAGTTTGTTTCGTTTGTTTCTTCATTGTCTAGCGGTAGGCAAGTTATGGAGTTTTATTTTTCTCTATCTTTGGTGATACCCTCTTCTGTGGGTGACTTTTAGCTTTTTGGGGCTGTGGATACCTAAGGAGGGAGATCAAATAGTAGAATGTTGCTTCTCTGTATATGATGTGGTGTATTTAGAGAGAGAAATGTTACAACTTCCGAATTATTGTTTTAAAGGAGTTTTCCTTGTTTCCACCCTTGTAAGATGAGAGAGGTTTGCACTTTTTCTCTTTCATCTTTTGTTGATTTCTTGACGTACTTGTACATTTTTTTGGATATATACTATAGTGTTTTGTTTTTGTTTATGCTAAGTGTATAGGCCGCATTCACTGTTTTGGCTTAAATCTCATTCTAAGAAACACATACACTTCTAAGAAGTTAACATAGAAAGATCATTCCATCAATCTTAATATCCATTCTCACGTTTGGTTCAATAAAAAAATGCATTGCAAATAGAATCATCATTATTGCAAATGGGCAATCTTATGATTGACGAAAGACCCAGATTATTGCATAGTAACAGTGCATAGTCCTTTGTTTTCAGTAGGCACAAAGCCATGGTTTTAAAAATTGGCTGCAACCCTTACGAATCCTATGACTACCATATGAAAAACCTATATTCTTTTTGAACAAATTCCAAATTCTAAACACACAGGTTGCATTTTTTTTTATAACTCGGTATCCGACCCACTAGACTAACTAATCCAGAGGACCAATCCCACCATTCTCGTATTGACTGGTCTCAAGAAATTATTTGCACCTAAAAGTTTCCAACCTGAAACCGTGGAGGAAACACCCCCAAACCCCAGCCTTGACCACTAGGCCAACCCCTGGGGTTCCACATAAGGTTGAATTTGAGAACATGGGTTTGGATTTGGGACTAGATTTGAAATCTGGGCATGAGTTAAGCACATAGTTGATTGTTCTTTTTTTCAATTAGGCTGATTATCTCTCTATGATCTTGCAAAACAACAGAACCACCGCTCTGCATCCGCTTACATAAGCACCCAAAAACTCCATAACTTCGCAATTAATACGAATCAAATCTAACAGTTGATGAGTTCAATTGCTTACAATAAAACAAAACACTATATAGAATACCCAAAATGAATTTAGATCTTACGGAAACAAAAAAAAATTAAAAAAAACAAAACGATTGAGAGTGAACAGTATAATTGGGAGTGATGGGCCGGAGGTGGAGGTGGAGGGGGAGGGAGGTGGAACGATTGCGTTGTGGAGGATGAGAATTGATCAATGGGCATTGAAGATCACGGTACGAGAGAGGGTAACAAATTTGTTGATTTCTCAGTAAGAACTAACCAATGGGAGCACCTTGTTGGCTCCTTAGAGACGAATCATGGGGGCTACGTGTTGCAAACATGATAATCATTTCTTTTATATTTATTTTTAAAAAGATATGTTATTTAAACTCCTTTGAATAATTTGAATGTGTAATTTGACCGTCTCCAAGGTTATAGGGTACGAGATCTTCTAATTTCATTTTTTTTTTTATTCTCCTTTCTTAATGTATTTATAATATGAAATTTATTGACATGATATAAATTTTTTAAGAAAAAGAGAATATTTAGCCAAGTAGTGGTAGAGGCTCGAGATTTTTTAAGAATTCAAACTATTATATCAAAATAAAATCTTGTTTTATTGAACTTTTAAAAACTTGTTCTTGTTTGGTTAAATTTTTGAAAACTGTTTTTGAGCTTTTTATTTTTTATGAAACTTTTTATCTAAAAAAAATATAAAAAACCTGAAAAAAAATTATTAAACACAAAAAAATAAAAAATAAAAAATAAAAAACTCAACAAAATTTAAATTTGAACTCCAAACAAAGTATCCATATAAAAATCCGTGGGCTTCAGGCCCCTGTAAACTGAAAAGCCCACAATGATACAAGTCAATTGTGGCGTTCAGACAATCCTGATTCTACTTCCATCACAGAATGTTGGGATCCACAATAATAAAATCCACGGTCAGGATAAGGCTTTGACTAAAAAATGCTCACAGACGGTAGATCATCCCACTGATCTTCCATTCTAAGGCCCCAAGGCTTCAATGCCCATTGATCAATTCTCATCCTCCACACCGCAATCGCTCCACCTCCACCTCCACCTCCGACGGCCCCTCCATCTTTTACCGGTGAGTTCTTCCGTAGTCAATCTCTCCCATCACTTCTAATTATACCTTTCACTCTCAATCGTTTTGTTTTTTTTAATTTTTTTTTGTTTCTGTGAGATCTGAATTCATTTTGGGTATTCTATATAGTGTTTTGTTTGATCGTAAGCAATTGAACTCATCAACTGTTAGATTTGATTCGTATTAATTGCAAAGTTATGGAGTTTTTGGGTGCTTCGAAGGAAATGGTATGTAGTGGTTCTGTTGTTTTGCAAGATCATAGATAGATACTCAGCTTAATCGAAAGAAAGAGCAATCAACTATGTGCTTAACCCATGCCCAGATTTCAAATCTAGTCCCAAATCCAAACCCATGTTCTCAAATTCAACCTTATGTAGAACTAGGGGTTGGCCTAGTGGTCAAGGCTGAGGCTAGGGGGTGTTTCCTCCACGGTTTCAGGTTTAGGTGCAAATAATTTCTTGGGACCAGTCGATATGGGAATGGTGGGATTGGTCCTCCGGATTAGTTGGTCTAGTGGGTCGGATACCAAGCTATAAAAAAAAATGCAAGCAGTGTGTTTGGAATTTGTTCGAAAAAAACGTAGGTTTTTCATCTGTTAGTCATAGGATTCGTAAGGGTTGCAGCCAATTTTTAAAACCATGGTTTTGTGCCTACTGAAAACAAAGGACTATGCACTGTTACTATGCAATAATGTGGGTCTTCCATCAATCATAAGATTGTCCATTTGCAATGCATTTTTTTATTGAACCAAACGTGAGAATGGATATTAAGGTTGATGGAATGATCTCTCTATTACACAGTCATTCCAATGGACCAAATATTTCTTAACATTACTGGGAAATAAAAAAATTGTGGAGTATAATTATGTATAATAGGAATCTCGAAAAGTGTTTTTTCTTCTTTGATTTTTTGTGTATCTTCTTTCGTCGCCTATAGGAGATCCATATTTGGTTCAATCAAAAGTGATTCTATCATTTATGTATCCACAATCTATCATTTTTTTATCCACAATTCAATACAGAAATGAGGAGTATAATTATGTATAATTTATTACAGTGGTTATATGACTTAATCTTACATAGGGTGGTGAATGTTTTACAGATGAGATAAAAGTTGGGATGATTTAGATTCTAATCCCTTCACTAAGTTATTGCCAGAGCGAGGTCTGTTTTATTGATTTTAAAAGTTTGTGGACAATTTATATCTTTTCAAATAGGTTTTTGTTTCATAATATGTATATATATATTTGTGCTTGATATACATTTTCTTCACTGTTTTTGGTTATGGACTTCTTTAAAATGAAAATCAATTTTTTTTTTTTGCTTTCTGTCTGTTGACTGGCAATGCCTTTTGAACTTAATATCTAGGTATTTGTCTAGCTCTCTATATTTATACCCTCGGTTCTTTATGACATGCATTATTGCCAATTTCTATTATTGCCTTTTGACGTGCATTATACCCTCGGTTTTTAATTATTTTTACTTTTATTTTTACCCACATATAGCATTTTCATTAAAATTATGCTACTCTGATCTTTTTATTCATCTGATGCTTGAAGCAGTTTGGGTCAATTGGATTGTGAAGGCTTAAGGTTCAGAGACACTTGTTTGCAAAGAATAAGAAGTTGCAAATTACTGATATGGCATCTAGGCGGCAAGTTCGTTACAATCGTCTTGCTACTGATGACGATAATGACTACAATACTGGTGGACATGACCCCCGATTTGACTATACGCCAAAGTCCTTTGATAAAGTCCCTTGGAAATCTATTGCCCTTGCACTTTTCCTGCTAGCTCTTGGATGCATGCTTCTTTTTCTGTCCTACTTCGTCTTCACAGGTCACATGGGAGGAGAACGATCCCAAGCTTATGGCCTATTAGGTCTTGGAATTCTTACATTCCTCCCAGGTATGCTAATTAAATAAAAAAATCATTTCAGTGGGATTTTCTACATTTATTGGTTTTTGTTGGGTGACAATGGATCAGTGATAATACAATGAATGATTTTATCCTGCAACATCTACATTCAAACATCTCCTGTGCTCCTATATGAGCCATTCTTTTAATTAAAACAATTAGTTTTGACAAATTGAAGAGTTGCTTGAAGAGGGAATTATGCAGTGTTAGCAACTGCACTGGCAAATAAGAGAAAGGCCACACAAAATAACAAATAAAACATTGACTGAATTATTATATATCATGTTATTGAGTATTTCGAATAACTTCTGAATTCGAAAACTATCTCTTATCCAAAAATGTAGTAAAATTTCTAATAATAAGCCAAATTCTTCGGTGGATTAGTTACAAACACTTTTTGACAAACATTTTCTGCAAAGGCTGTTTAAATGAGAACCCTGTTGATGCAAACTCATTCCAACCAATTCCCAAATTATCCTTATTTTTTTCCACTTATACTTATAGCTGGCAAAGCCTGACAAGACCTCCCACTGTCATTAAATTACACTACAAAAAGAATGGACTGATTCGATTATAGTGAAATTCAAACATTTATTTGGTTACTCAAGCAGCAAACTAATTTGCTGATTAGTTCTTTTAGCTTGTCATTAATATGCCTACTTCATTTTCTTGGGGCAAATGCATGCTGAAGTAACAGAACATGGAGGCACCTATTCGCACACCTGTTCCCACTGATTGTCCAAAGCAGTGATAGCTTCTGTGTCTAGCAGTAGCTTATGTCACATACTTTCAGCAAAAACCTTTGCTTGGTCACAAAATGTATACATTTATATATTTAAACCAGGACTAGCTCCAAGTAGTAGGAAAGGAAGAACTCGGTGTTTTTTCAGAACTCAACGAAGTCTCAAACCCAACAAGTTGATAACTGTAAGCGGCCCAAGAAATGATCACAAACGGGCCCCCCCCAAACTGCCTGTATAGAGCCATTGTGGAAGATGCTCGCCATCTCCTCCATTGGTGCAATTGTTCCATCCAGCACATTATGCGAGAGGCTTAACCAATGTGCGGACAAGCTCGCCAATATGGGTGCAGATCAAGTGGAGCTCTTGTTGGTTATGGAGGAACCTCCTCAAGAAGTTAGAAGTTTGTTTCTAGCAGATATGGTGGGCACAGCGTTTCGGAGGCTCTAGCTTAGCTGCCTCCCTTGTCTTTGTTGTTGTTGTTCTAGTTTTAATTTCCGATGTACCGAAAAAAAAAAAAAAACTGTAAGCGGTTTCCAAGTTAAAGATGTGAAGTTTGGAGAAGGATGGGCACTTGAATTGCCAAATGAAAGCTTTAGATCATAAAGGAGACATGAATTGCCAGTTTAGTTTGCATTAAGACATATGTATCCCATGAAGTATTGACACTTCAAAATGGGTGCCATGTCTGTGGGACACCGATGCTCCGGGAACACGCACGTCCATGTGTTGACATGCCATGTGGCTTGTCAATAATTATTACTAGGACGCTTCCTCAGGACATTTTTGTGAGTTTTTTTATTTTTGATTTTTATTTTATAATTCTAGAAAGCTGATTTGGGGTCAAAGTAAATAAAAATACACCCACATTTACATTGATGCCTCTTATATCTCTATAATCTAAATATATATAGCAAATAAAAATGTATAAAAAATAAATTTTTGTTATATCCCCGCAGTTTTCCACATCCTAATTTTTAAAAAATTGTTGTGTCCCGTGACTATACTCGTGCTTCTTAGTATGCAATGGTTCTCACGATATAATTTGTTTTTGTTCTACTTCTTAGATATATGTTTCCACCACATACACTTTCTTGATGTTTTACATCTTGGTTACTACATAGCTCTCCATACGAATGGTGCTGTATTTTGGTTACCAAATAGCTCTGTAATTATGCATGCTGTAGTTGTCTTCTTATCCATCGAGTCTTCACAACAACTGACAATTAGTTATTTATCCAACCAATTACTGCAGGATTTTATGAATCTCGATTAGCATACTATTCATGGAGAGGTGCCGATGGCTACCGCTTTGCTTCCATCCCTGATTATTGAGAGAGACACATTAATAACAGACATGCATTGATGCACGTGTTCTACTTTTGTTGGACTTTGTGTGATTTTGAAACTTTTTTTTGTTTAGGTACAAATTCTGGAACTTATTGTATAGAGAGAACTTGCCTCAGTATTTTGTTTGGTCATTTTAGATTTGAACTGACTTTTAGTAGAATTCGTGTGTTCAATCAGAGATGTGGGGAGTATATGATATTTTGAGAAGATGGCTTCGCACCCAGACAGGCTTGTTTCAATTTCATTTATGTCAGGCTGGGCATGTTCTTTTTAGTCCTGCTGTTGCCAATGCAAAACACTAAACTCGGCTACACACCGATTCACCAACTGGGTGATCTTGGTTAACAATTTTACTGATTTTTATAAATTTATTGTTGATGTTGTTGATGCGATATTATTATTATTGTTGGGGTAGTTTGAATTTTGGAATGAAGAAAAAGACATAGCTCTCTTCTCCCATTTTTTGACATATAAATGAATGATCTATATGATCATATCTGAATGGCCATTGTGAGGATACCCAAATGTTCAACTGTTAAAAATCAGTGGTACATTATTTGTCTATGCAGGAATAGGCCTGTCGATTGGATTGGCAATCTGATCCAAACAGGGATGCATGTAGGCCTGTCGATTGATACATGGTTTTAGCTGGGGGTGTTTGTGGTTGATTAAAATGTCCAAGGATATTTGATGATGTTTCATCAGTCAGTTTACACAAATTCAGAAAACCCTTTTGCATCAAGAATTTTTTTGTCCTCAAATCAAAACACTTGCACTCATTGAATCATGTTAGTATTTGAAAGTATAAAAATCTTGTAATCTAATTTAATGATTGTGAGTATTTTGAAATATAAAAAATATGTATATACATTTGCAGACAAGTAATCTCATTAGAAATGGTTTTAAAGGCACAATAACCAATTTTGTTGTTTCTCCTTGTTATTGTTATTTAATTTTTTAGCAATTAATTGATTAGAGAAAAGTAGAAAAAAGAAGATGCATAGGGCAAAGAATCTCACACTAAAGGTGCCGTTTGTTTGAGTGAGGAGATTATTAATAAAGTGAAATTGAGTGAGAAAATTAATAGTATAGTGAGTTGGAGATGTCTGAAATTGTTTTAAAAGCTCAAAAACTAATTTTGTTGTTTTCTCTTTATTATTATTATTGTTATTTATTATTATTTATTTTAGCAATTGATGAGAGAAAATAAAAATAAATAAAAAAGGTGCCTGGGACAAAGAAAATACTCAAAATATTTATGTATAGTTCACATTTATTTAAGGGATTTTTTTTTTTTAAGGTCTCTAGTATTAAGATTTTATAGTATAAAGGACATTCAATATTTTAATAATGTCTAAGGTCTCTCAAGTTAATCTAGAGAAAATTCACGTCACAGATAAAATTGGTCCAGAGAAATTTTCTCTGGCCTTCCCTAAACTTCCCACTGTAAATTTCTCCACCCTCTCCTTCTCCAAATTTCTCTGCCTTCCATATACTTCCCACTCTCCCAGAAAAATTTCTTTGCCTTTTCACAAAATTACATTTCCAGAGAAATTTTAAATTTCTCTGCCCTCCCTGCCTTTGAAAATTTCTCTGACTTCACCGCCCTTCAATTGGTCAAAATGAATTCAGAGAAATTTGAAAATCCAGAGAAAAAAACCCAGAGAAAATTGGTCAAAATGAAACCAGAGAAACTTGAATTCTCTCTGGGTTTAAGTGAAAAAGCTGTAAAGATTTGAAATTTGAAATAAAAAAATGAAACAGTTGTAGGGGAATTTGTCGCTCTGTCCTGAAACACCTCTTCAACTTGTGGAAACAACTTGTGATCCTTGAGCCCTAGATAGTTATTCGCTAAGCTCTTGAAGAAATTGAAATCACAGAGGGGAAGAAGAAAAACGAAAGTGATGAAAATAGAGAGAGAGACCTGATCTACAACTCTTGCTTTGGACTGTTGTGATACCAAAGAAGGCTCCACAAAATGGTATCGTTTGGGTGTTGGAGCTTTCTGAATCTTTGCAGCATGTCATCAGACCTCTCTGATCGGCCATGAAAGCATCTATCTCTCTCTCTCTCTCTCTCTCTCTCTCTCTTCGTTCCAAACTCTGGTTTTGATCACTGCTAATCAAATACGAACTTGAACATGCAAATCATCATCATCACCGAGTGTTTTCAAGCCTCTTTCTCGTTAATCTGAGAGAAATCTTAGATTTGTAGTGTTACAGATCTTGCATTTCAAAACAACTTTGTGAAGAAGACACTGAATATACTTATAATTCCAGTCTCTATGCATTTGATATAACGGTGAACAGTAAATCATAGAGGTCAGGTCAGTGACATCAAAGAGAGAGAAGAAGAAATTGTTGCGTATGAAAGAGGAAGAGGGAGTGAATTTTCTCTGTGATAAATGGGTGTAGGGTTAAGGGACCTTAGATATCACAAAATAATATTTTAGATCTCTTCCATCACAAAAAATGAAAAAGGGACCTTAGACTAATTTTTCTTTATTTAAGATGTCAATTCACTGGACAAGAGTAAAATTTAAATAACACACTATCTTTTTTATTATAATACTGTACATACTTTTGCACATATATTTTTATAAATTTTTTTAACAATGGACTTATTTGATACAACTTACTGTAATTTAAAAACAAATAATCAAAAACAAAATAAAAAATATCATTCCATTAATTTCAGATAATTAATTTTTAAAACTTATTTAAATTATTTTTGTCTAATAAAAAAGATCTATCAAATAATTTGATGCAAAAAATAAATAAATAAAATAAGGGCAAATTACACTAACAGTCCTTACAGTTTGAGACTTGTGTCACTTTGATCGATGACTTTTCAATTATGCCACATTTGACGCTTAATTTTGAATCTTGTTCTAAATAAAGACAATTGAAGATATCATATTCAATTTCAAGGGTAAAGTCATCAATTTGATAAAATATAAATTAATTTGACAAAAATAAATGTCAAAAAAATATTTTTAAAATTTTAAAACTTATTTTTACCTACCAAAGATAAAATTATGTAAAATTGATAAATCGTTCTTGCACATTTATTTATTTATTTTACCAAATTAATTTTTATTATGTGTTTAGATAATGATTATGTAACGGGTGATTGTTAGGTTTTTAATGTGTAATCGATATATTTTATATATGAGATATTTTTAGTTTTGAATTTTTTGATTTAATGGATTGATTTAACAATGATATTAAAATTATCATCATATTTGACTTTTAGAAAAATAAAAATTAATTTAATGAAAATAAAAACAACCATCCATATTTATATCATCCAAATATATAAAAAAAATTAATTTAGTAAAAAAATAAATAAATATGTAAAAAATTTATCAATTTTATTTTTGGTGAATAGAAATAATTTTTAAAAATTTAAAAATATTTTTTTAAAATTTAATTTTATCAAATTGACGATTTATTATTAAAATTGAACAATAATATATTTAATTATTTTTATTTAAAATAAAATTTAAAATTTAGAATCAAATAACGACACAAATGCTAAACTATAAAATAAGGAATCATCCCAACCGTTGGTCATATTTTGTTCTCGAATTTGATAATTTGTAATAACTTAGGAATCTCGTAAATAAGTGACTCAAGCCTGACTCGACTCGTCTGATAAAGCGAGAAAGAAAAAACTAGCAAAAAAGGAAAGAAAAAATATTCGAACCCCATAATTCAAGCTCAATCAAAAATCTCCATTAATCCATCAATGGAGTATATAAATACTTACTATATATAACTCACTCTGATTAATTAATTTTATTCGTCTCCCAGAAGGGTATAGAGAGAGAGAGAGAGAGAGAATTTATGGAGGAGCACTGAACACTTGGGCTATTTGGCTTCTGCGTCATATATATGTATGTATATATATACCCAATCGTAAATCTACGATCAATTCTACAAGTTTTCTCGTTGTTTTGGAGGGATTTGATTTGATAGAAGAATTCTCTGCAAATTTCGATTCGACGAAGCTCTTTTTTCTGTAAGTTCATCTTCAATCTCTGCCTCTTATTGGGTTTTGAACGTTGTGGTTCTTTGCTGTTGGATTTTGCTGGGTTTTGTTTTTGGAGATCAGATCTGTGGCATTTAGGCTTGTTTCGATTTCTATTGATTTGAAAGTTGATAGCTTTCCCATTTTTTCCCCAAGAAATTGAATACCCACTTTCAATAAATTAGGTTTTGTGTTACAGTTGTGTCCAATTTTTCTTTTTAATGGTTTCTCCTTAAATTTAAAATTTCTGGATGACTGTCACTTCTTTTTTGTTTTTATTTTATTTTGTTTTCTTTTCAATACATCAATTTTTTTACAAATTTATATATTTTTTTTAGCAAAGTTTGTGCCACTATAGAGCAATATTTCGATTGCATTAGTATTAGGGACACACCTCATTGTATCTCTCCTCCATTCCAATTAAGCTATTCCACATTATCTAAAGCTATGTTGTGTACCTGAAGCTAAGTTATTCCACATTTATGGAAATACAATGACTGCCATCCATCTTTCTCTCCAAAGATAACAACTGCAAAACGCAGTTAGACCCAAAAATATATGAGAACCGAACCAACCTGACCTCCATGGGTTGGGTTGGTTTAGATTTTGGTTTTATTTTGGGTCTTAAAAATAACAAATCCAATCACATTAGTTTGGTTTTTCAGTTAAGCAAGAGTAACTCGAGCCAGCCAAAGACCCGATTATATTTATATATATATTATGTTGAGTTGTCTTCTTATATGTTTAGTGGATACTTCAAATTTGAGCTAAAGTGTTAAATATGAAGCCATAAGTTTGGGTATGGGAGAGTAGATGATTGGACATGTGACTTAGATAGGCAGTGGGTGGGTTTCTCACACCCCACCAAGGATAAAAAGGAACACATTTATAATTTTTAATAGAATTCCCTAAGTTACCATCAAGGCTTAATATAGCAGTATCATGTGTTGAATCGGTTTTGGTTGTGGTGTAGCAATATTATGATCCATGAGTATCGAGCAATGCATACAAAAAATCAGTAAATGCAATTTTGCATTTAAAAAAAATTATCATATGCAAAAAAAATTGCTTTATAGCATCCAAAGCGAGCGTAGCGTTTGTGAACCTATTATGTTGGTTATGAATTAGGTTGTGAATCAGTTATGAACCAATATGTATCGCATATCAGATGATATAAAGATAACTTTCATTCCCACTGGTACATTGAGGTGTATTGGTCAGTTGTGTTGAATTACAAGTTGTGTTGCTTGTAAACTTGAATTACGGTAATGGCCAGTCAGACACCTAGATAGATAGGCACTCTACCCTCACCAACTCAACTTCATGTAACATAGTATTAGATAAACTTACAAGAAGACATTTTTTGACTTAAGTTTACCTACCAAGAAAAAGTCCTACCTAAATTTTAGTTCTACTTTTGCTTTCTTTTTTCTTAGAACAAAGTCAAAGGCCCTTGGAGCCTGGTTAGTTTGTTGCTCTATCTGATGTGTGGCTCTCTCTAGAAATAGCACTAGCATGAAGACCCTAGGGATTGCCACATAGAGAAAAAAGGTTAACTAAAACTTATGAAAATCTTTTGTTGAAACTTCTCAAAATATGCAATACCATATTTTGTGTTTTCAAATTACAGGGAGAGCGCTGGGCAATGTTGGTAAAAGCATAATAGTAGAAGTGTTTTTAATTGTTAGAGTGAAATGCAAGTACAAAAGTGTGCTTTTTTTATAAGCTTATAGTGCACTTTTTGCACTTTTTATTTTTGTTTAAAAAATATATAATTTATTAGTTTTTTATTTTTATTTTTTTATTTTTAATTTTAAATCATGATTGTTTTGAATAGGCCCTTGTTTTGTTATACAAATATCAATATTACGGTATGATACACTATCAATATTATGGTATGGTAACAAATACCATTCCAGTACTTTTTGGTCTTTGCCTTTTGGGTATATTTTGACTCAACCATGTATTTCATTTGCATTGCAGTTGTCAATATTTTGTAAAGCACAATTTGGTCACTTGACTGTCATATTATCTATTACTAATTGTTTTCAAATTTAGTTCATAGAATTTTAAGAAATTGAACAAACCTGTGTTACTGTGTAAAATTTATGCCTGCAACCTTTGTACAATTACAACTATTTTAGTTAAGAGGATAAATATATTGCTATTTGATTTTTTTGAATTTTTTGAATTATGTGCTTTTCGCATAGGCTCTAGGAGGCCTTTGCACTTAAGTACATCTCATGCTTTTACCGACATTGGCATGGGGAGTCAGAAGGCTTGGGTTGTTTACAAAGCTTTGATGTGTTAAGTGAGTCTTTGGAAGGGACTGGTGGTAGTATGGCAATGAGTGGGGTAATGGGCTACTGGTGCTGAGAGAGGACCTTATAGGATGGATGTTTGGAAAGGTATTATGAGAGTTTGGGATATCTCTAAGCATTTATTTTCCTAAAGTGGGTAATAGTGGTAGATTTGGATTGTAGCTTGATTCTTGGTGTGCATGCAGACCATCAAGAAAGTTATTTCCAAGCCTTACCAATTGGCTATGTAAATGGAGCATTAATCTTATATTTCTCTTTTAGTTTATATAATAAGGGTGGTATAGACACCTCAGTTTGGGAGGGCCACATGGTAGAATTTTTTGGCATGATAGTTTGTTTCATGGGGGATCAAGGATCTGATTGCCCAGAGAGTTTTAGAAATGAGACTCTTATTGTTTGCATTTTTTATCCGTCCTAATGTAGTCTTGTGTAGCCTTTTCTTTCTTTCGAAAGGGATTTGGAGGACTAAGGCCCCTCCGATGGTGGCTTTCTTTGTTCGTACAACAACTCATGAGGCTATTTTGACAATAGACAATCTTAGGCTTTGTTAACTTACTAAAGAAAGCTCATTCAGACAAAACTAGGGAAGCGCTACTAATAGCGAAAGTATAATATCTATCCTCCCATTCTAGTTGTATTGGTAGGCAAAAAGTGATTATGGAGTGGTGTTGTATGTGTTGGAAGGTAGGGGAAAGTATATTTCATTTGTTTCTTCATTGTCTAGTGGTAGGCAAGTTATAGAGTTCGATTTTTCTCTATCTTTGGTGATACCCGATTTTTCTCTATCTTTGGTGATACCCTCTGCAGTGGGTGACTTTTAGCTTTTTGGGGCTGTGGATACCTAAGGAGGGAGATCAAATAGTAGAATGTTGCTTCTCTGTATATGATGTGGTGTATTTGGAGAGAGAACTGTTACAACTTCCTAATTATTGTTTTAAAGGAATTTTCCTTGTTTCCACCCTTGTAAGATGAGAGAGGCTTGTACTTTTTCTCTTTCATCTTTTGTTGATTTCTTGAAGTATTTGTACATTTTTTTGGATATAGACTACAGTGTTTCGTTTTTGTTTATGCTAAGTGTATAGGCTGCATTCACTTTGGCTTAAATCTCATTCTAAGAAACACATGCACGTCTAAGAAGTTAACATGTTGTGTCCGACACCGTGACACTCATCGAATAATTCCCAACACTTGGACACATATAAAACACGTTACAATTATGAATAAAATAAATTGGAAGCAAACGATAAAACAAAAAGAATGTAAATATATATTTATTCTTCTCATTTAGACTTCAAAAGGCATTATTTTTTACTTAAATATTCATATATGTAATGTAACATATAATAATTATTTATCCTTATATATGACATATAATAAATATATAAAATATATATTTTGCACATGTCCGCCACGTGTCGTGTCTCACATTTTTTTTGGAGATTTTTTGTGTTGGCATGTTTGTGTCATGTCACGTATCTTTTGTTTCTTCTATTGTCCTCTCAATCTCATCCTAGGGTATTATGTATGAATTGCAGAACTCCTATGTTTGATATACACTAATTTATTGGTGCTACCTATCCTCTTCCTTTAGAATTCAAAAATTGTTATTTTTGACTTAAATATTCACATATATGCCATATAATAATTATTTATCCTACACATAACAAATATATAAACTTATGTATTTTGCATGTTTCCCCCACATGCAATGTTTCACGGACTCTGCACAGGTGTTGGATATGGAGACATGCCCAAGAGTTGGATCCTCCCATTTTTCTAATTACAGGATTCAAGGCCTTGGCCAAAAAATTAGATCTGGGTACAAGGAAACGACATATGTAATGCATCCTTCAAATAATTACTCAATTAATAAATATTTATGGTTCCCAATTGCAAATACATTTTTTATTAACTAATAATAATTTTTTTAAGATCAACTATCAATTCATGACAATAAATAATTAGGTTACCTAGTTAACAAATCAAAGAATTTTTTCAAGCTTAGTTGTTTAAATTTTTTATATAGATAATATTTTTATATTTATCATTATAGTTGCTTATTTATTTGACCATAGTTAATAATTAATGGTTTGCCAACTCAATTCCACTTGCTTGCTCGTGATATCAATGGCTTGGGCTCTCTCTCTCTCTCTCTCCCTCTCTCACACACACACACACACACACACACACATTCCCAAGGGCCTGCACTCATATTCCGATGGCAATATCTTTGGACTTGATACACACTCCCTCTTTGTGTCTCCATTTACCCTTTATTTTGTTAGTCTCATAGGAACCCTAACTTCTCTGTCTCTCAAATCGAATCATCTCTCTCAAATAGAACTGTTAGATCTGATTGATTTGTCAAACCATATCTCTCAAATGGTTGAATTTGTGATTGAATTTAGATCTAATTGAAGCTTGACATCGCCGCTGGCCTAGAACTTCAACTTCACCATCGACCAAGATCTCGTTGATCGAACTTTGATCTAAGCCACGAACTCATAGATCAAACTTCTCTATAAGGTATGCACATCTTACTCCTTGAATCAGTCGTGTTCAAGTGATGAGGGCCGAATCTGAACCGAATCCCACACCTATTCGCACACCTGTTCCCACACCCATGTCTTGTTGTGCACTCCCCCCCAAAACAACCGAGTACATGTAGCACAGCCGACGTGTTGTGTCCTACATCTTTGAAAACTTGTGTCCTACATCAACGTTCTATATCTGTGCTTCTTAGATCTTATTCATTGTGTACAAAATATAGGTGTATGCTTTTTGCAGACGATATCGTGCTAGTGGATGAGACTAGAGAAGGAGTTAACACAAAGTTGGAGGTTTGGAGAAAAATTCTTGAATCTAAAAGATTCTGGATAAGCAGAACTAAGACAGAGCACATGGAGTGTAAATTTAGTAACAGAAATAATGAAAGCAGAGGCGAAGTGAAGATTGAGAACTAATAACTACCTAAGAGTGAACATTTTCGTTATTTAGGGTCGATTATCACAATGGCAGGGGAGATTAATGTGGATGTGGCCCATAGGATTAAGGCGAGATGGTGTAAGTGGAGAAGTGTGTCTGAGGTGTTGTGCGATAAACGAATACCCACTAGACTAAAAGGTAAGTTCTATAGAACGATTATTAGGCCAGCGATGTTGTATGGAACAGAGTGTTGGGCCAACTAAGAAACAACATGTAGATAAGATGAGTGTGATTGAGATGAGGATGCTAAGGTGGATGCGTGGCAAGACTAGACAAGACAGAATTAGAAATGAGTGTATTTGGGAATAGGTAGGAGTAGCACCGATTGAAGATAAGTTGAAAGAGAATCGATTGAGGTGGTTTGGTCATATTCAACCGAGACCAATAGAGGTAGTAGTAAAGAGATGTGATGGTATACCGGTTGATGGAAGTGTTAGGGGACGGGGTAGGCCTAGATTAACGTTGGCTAGTATTATAAATAGAGATATGGATCTACTTAATTTGACTAATGAAAGGGTCTTTGATAAGGTCTTGTGGAGAAGAAGGATTCATGTAGCCGATCTCATTTGATGGGACTTAAGGCTTGGTTTGGTTTGGTTAGAGCTCCTAAGTATGATGCACATTGAATTGTCGGTGATCCTAAGTTTGATGCACATTGAGTTATTGATTTGACATAAGATTAGAGTTGTAATGGCTATTCTAGAATTGCATTGCCCATCATAGTTGTTAATGACTTAGACTTCCCCTATCATCAGTTACGGATCAATTACAATTTTTTGACTATTATGTTTTGGGAATCAATACATTGCTACTTCAGGGTTGTAACGGCCATTTTTGTTTCTTTTTATTTTGTTCTTTTTCGTATTTAGCCTTAATTTTTTTTTTATTTTCTTGTATCAATTGCTCAGTTATAAAGACAATGCTTAAGAAAAGCTAATGAAAATGGTAATTGAGAGCATGAGAATATTAAATACTGGGAACTGACTGTACTCTGTTTATTTTTTAAAATAGTTGTTAAAAATTTCATGTATTTAAACTTTCCGAACTAATTCCTTTTCTCAATCTTAGTTACTATTTGAAGATAAAATTTTAATTTAATCATTAATCTGCTTTCTTGCAATCTCATTCAATTATCATTATTACCATTGTTAAATAAAAAGGAAAAATAAGATTGTAATAACTATTCATTAATCACTAATGTAGTAATGATATATTATTTGATGAGTAGAGTAATATGCTACTACTTGTTTGACATATATATACCAATAAATTTTAGGGCTTGCTAGTCATTATAGAAAAGGTAGTGGAAATTTATAGCTTTGATAATCATTTTCCTTGGGCCTTGAGTTGCACTTACTATAAAGTTATACGGTGTGGCAGTTGATACTGTAATTACCATGTTCAAGCATAATGGAAGTATCTACTTACAGTCTTAGTGAAAACTTTTATTAGATTCACAGACTGCTTGAATATTGAGTTCAATCTCATAACTCCTATCCATCCCAAAATTAGTGTCAATGTTGATCCCTCATTTTTTGTATTTACTGTCAAATAGTTAAAGCTCTATTTTTTTTCTCACTTTTTGGTATTATTATCTCTTAATACAAATTATATTAATCATTTTCTCTTAAACTTAACCTTGGATGAGGGTAGAATGGGAAGAGCAATTCTAAAATGGGAGTTGTCGATGCAGTGTCTTTTCTTAAACTTGAACATTTTCATGTGGGACTCTCATTTTGGGACCTCTGAAAAGGAATTGTGAGTTGTATCATGATTTTCCCTTATATTCCACAACACATTTTCATGCATATTTCTTGTTTAACCATTTTTACTGTATACTTAAATGTTGTAACATTTCCTTGAACCTTTTGCATCATACTTTTAGGATAAGAAAATGGATGGATCAGCTGGTCAAGCCAACAGTAGTGTGGATATGTTTTTACGTAACTATAAGCTTGGGAAAACGCTTGGTATTGGTTCATTTGGTAAGGTCAAAATTGCAGAACATGCTTTGACAAGGCACAAAGTTGCTATCAAGATCCTTAACCGTCGCAAGATAAAGAACATGGATATGGAAGAAAAGGGTAAGAATTTATGTCATTCCATGCGTATAAGTTGTGCAAGTTGTTTCAATTGCCTTTTGTTTATTAAATTTTACAACTGATAACTAGGTGTTTTAATTGGGTTATCAAAACACGCACGTATTTTGCATTTCCATCTTATGTGTGTGAAAAGGAGGAGTAATTGCTAGAAACTAGTTGCACTATGGCTACTAACTGTGGTATTTATGCATCAGCGTTATTTGATTCCTTCTTGTCTCCAATGAAATGACTTATCCTAATTACTTACATAATTTAAACTACAGATCATTTTACTGACATAATTTGGTTTCACTTTCATGTCCATAACAATGAAGTGATAGAGTCAAGATTGGAAATTTGATCATATGCATTGGGATTTCAGCTGCTGTTTTTGTTATCAGATCAGAGGCTATCTTTTTTTTTTTTTTTTTTGGGGGGGGTTTTTTATGGGGGTTGTCTGTAAAGAACTTTCTTTGATAAGTAAATTAATATTATTCACAAAAGGCACCAAAAGGGGAACAACCTCTATTCATTGGCTGGATACAATGCAAACTAGAACCCATCTTTAAAACTAAGCTCTTTTATGAAGTCAATAAGAGGAAAAGAAGATTCACCAAACTTCCTTTGAAAGCCAAAATTAATGAAACATATGCATTGAATTTGATTTCAAACAATGTGTTAGCACTTCAACATCTTCAAATCCAAATGCACCATGTGCCTGTTTGGTACTTAAAAGCAGCTTAAATCAACTTTTAGCTTAAATTGAGTTATTTTGGTGTGTTTGGTAAAACTTAAAGGGATAGATTATAGCTTTGATTAAGCCATTTTCAGCTTAAATTTGTAAGCATCTCCGGGGGTGCTTCTTGATTTGAGCTTATGTGCGCAGCTAAAATGGGGGGCATAAAATAACTTAATTACCCTTCACAATTTCCAGTTATTACAAGTGTGCCATATATGTAAACCAATAACACTCATTCTCTCTCATACAAACGGGAGAGGCGATTTCCGACGAACCAGGGCGATTTTCGACGACCAAAGCTCTGTCTCTCTCTCTCTCTCTTCGGTGTTCTCCGATCGCTCACAGTGAGCGATCTGAGCCAGAGACCCTAACCCTAACCATCGCGATTTGAACCGGAGACCCTGACAGTGACGATTGCATGACAAAACCCTAGCTCTCTCTTCCTTTTCGCGATCGACGCCGGCGGTGAGATGAGGAGGAGGAGGAGAAGAAGAAGAAGGGACTGCCAGCATGACAAAACCCTAGCTCTCTCTCTATTCGCGATTTACGTTGTTGTTCTCTTTCTGTGCCCCATTGTGATTGGCCGTGCGAGGCGATCTCAAACCTAGCGCCGCCACGTCGCCGGAGCTAGGGTTTTCAATGTTTTTTTTTTGGGATATTTTCAGTGTTTTTTTAATAAAAAATAATAATAAAAATGAAAAAATGAAACTAATTAATTTATAATGAAATAATTTTATACTAATTGATACTATTAATAATTTTAGTATTAATCGATGCTAATTAAGCCATTAATTGACACTAGTTAATTTATAATGAACAAATGAAATAATTTTATACTGATTGATACAATTAATAATTTTAGTATTAATTGATGCTAATTAAGCCACTAATTGACACTAATTAATTTATGATGAAAAAATGAAATAATTTTATACTAATTGATACTATTACTAATTTTAGTATTAATTGATGCTAATTAAGCCATTAATTGACACTAATTAATTTCTGATGAAAAAATGAAATAATATTATAATAGTTGATACAATTAATAATTTTGGTATTAATTGATGCTAATTAAGCCATTAATTGACACTAATTAATTTATGATGAAAAAATGAAATAATTTTATACTAATTGATACAATTAATAATTTTGGTATTAATTGATGCTAATTAAGCCATTAATTGACACTAATTAATTTATAGTGAAAAAATGAAATAATATTATACTAATTGATACTATTAATAATTTTAGTATTAATTGATGCTAATTAAGCCATTAATTGACACTAATTAATTTATAATGAAATAATTTTATACTAATTGATATAATTAATAATTTTAGTATTAATTGATGCTAATTAAGCCATTAATTGACACTAACTAATTTATAATGAAAAAATAGAATAATTTTATACTAATTGATACTATTAATGAAATGATAATTTTTGTAATACTAATTATATTAACTTTTATTAATGAAATAATTTTTGTGAATTAAAACTGAAAAAAATGACAAAATAATCATTTTTATATCTTATAAGGGTAAAAAGGACAATTATATGATAAAAAGTTATTTTACCACTCTGCTGCTTAAATTCATAATCCCACAGCTGCATTAAACATGTTAACAATTTATATTCACAGCTATAAACCATAATCTATTAAGTTATAATTTAAAATCACTTTTTTCACAGTTCTATCAAACGGGCCCATGTCATGCACACGGGAGCCATCACTCAGTAGATAGGAGAGAGCCAACTTTAAAACCCAAAAAATTTGCCAATCCTTGAACATTTTGCACCTAGCCCACAAGAAGAACTTTCACTTTTACATCAATACAGAGCTTGATAAATATATTAGTATTTTGAGCCGAATTTAGAAGAACCTTTATGGGGTAAGTAGTTTATGAAGCAAAAGAAAATTTCTTATTTCCAATTTTGGAGGTTTTATGATAACTTCCATTCATTGTTTTGAGATTTCAAAGCTTGGAGTTGTGGCTATAGGAGGTCCTTTTGTGGTTTTGAACGACCACTGCACTTAAGACCTGTTTTGTTGCCATTTTATTCAACTTGGGAATTGTTGCCAACCTGGATCAATTTTTTAATTTCTTGATACCTTAGCCTTGTACCTGGATCAATTTTTTTATTTGTTGATACCTTAGCCTTGTGATTTGCATCTTTTCTTTGTTTGGTATTTTGTTCTTCGGGTTTTCTATGTTGTATTTGGGTTGCATCCCCTTGATGCCCTTTTTATAACGGTTTTTCTTCCTCTGTCACAGTTAATATAGATACTGTACATCCGTTGCTATTGGATCTGGATTATGATTTGTGGTTGATATTTTGCAGTTAGAAGAGAAATCAAAATATTGAGGTTGTTTATGCATCCTCATATTATACGACTTTATGAGGTTATAGAGACACCGACAGATATCTATGTTGTGATGGAGTATGTGAAGTCTGGTGAGCTCTTCGATTACATTGTGGAAAAGGGTAGGTTACAGGAGGATGAAGCTCGCAATTTTTTCCAGCAGGTAAATGTTTCTTATATGAGAGATTTCTTCAAGTATTGCTATGTCCAAAATGAGTGGAAATCATTTGTGTTAAAACATTATTGTATGCTGATTCTTCGAAACAGATAATTTCTGGTGTAGAGTACTGCCACAGGAATATGGTGGTTCACAGAGATCTTAAGCCTGAGAACCTGCTTTTGGATTCCAAGTGCAACGTGAAGATTGCTGATTTTGGTCTGAGCAATATCATGCGGGATGGTCATTTTCTGAAAACAAGTTGTGGAAGCCCAAATTATGCTGCCCCAGAGGTATGGTATCTATGGAATATAATTTAAGACAGTGAAACAAGTCAGTGAGATTTTTCAATTGAATGCTATTTGTATTTAAAGTAATTGTTGAATTTCCAAGGTTAATAAATTCATCTATTTTCATAGGTTATATCTGGGAAATTGTATGCTGGACCTGAGGTAGATGTATGGAGCTGTGGGGTTATCTTGTATGCACTTCTTTGTGGCACCCTTCCTTTTGATGATGAAAACATTCCTAACCTTTTTAAGAAAATAAAGGTACATTGAAATTATTTTAATTTATATTAGCATTCGTCATCATTGCTATGTTTTCCTTGAACTTGAGGATCCAGCATTGTTTGGTAGCCGCTGTTCTGTTGTTTATTTTATATTTTAATGTCTGCATCATCATCTTTATCATCATAATATGTGTTACTCAACTATTCTGGGTTTGGAGATTAGCATGTCTAGATTTTACACAAACTTTGTATTCTCTTGGAATGAGAGACTTGATGCTGCATCTATCATACTGAGTATTCCGTTGACCTTTCAAGATCTCCAACTACTGTTTCTTAACGAACTCCTCGCTAGTTATTTATGTATTTGTTTTCGTACTGTGCGAGCCTGTCATTGTTATGGTGACTTAGCCTTCCGATCAAACCTCATTGTTTCATCATAGAGATGCTTACTGTATCTCTAAAGACCCCCCATGTACCCATTTTTCATGGATGACAACATTGCCTTTTGAATGCCTAACATTTTGGCTTACAAATGATTTCTCATGCCTTATTTGAAGAACTGGGGTATAGAAATAACTGGATATTTACCACTTCCAGCTAGATGACCATGAAGGACAATGGGATTTATATTTTATACCATAAAGTAAATTTAGGCAATATTCTGCAGAGAATGTTTATAACTTAGACAACATGTCAAATTATGTAATTTCTTCATGGTAAGTGGCAGTGGGCGTAAAGAAAAAATATTTGGCACAAGGTTGTAATCGGTTGGTTTGAATTTGGTAATCTAGAGTTTGATATACTTCATGGTAGTGTGGGGAATTTTTAGAGCATAATTTCTGTCAAATTCAAGAAAGTTGTTCTCTCTCTCTCTCTCTCTCAAGCATCTCTTTGTGGCTTCCTCTTTCAGATGTTTTCAGTATCCTTAGCTTGTATATGATGTTTGTTGCATCCTGAACCCTTATTCATTTTGTCCTTCAGGGTGGGATATATACTCTTCCCAGTCATTTATCACCTGGCGCGAGAGATTTGATTCCAAGGATGCTTGTGGTTGATCCTATGAAACGAATGACTATTCCTGAGATTCGTCAACACCCATGGTTTCAAGCTCATCTTCCACGATATTTAGCTGTGCCCCCACCAGATACACTGCAACAAGCAAAAAAGGTTCTGGAAAACTTTGAATCTTTGTGCCAATCAGAGTTGGATCATATTTGCTGTTTATGATTTTCCAGAGAACATAAATGCTTGACTTTGGATATGTGTATATATATGAGAGAGAATCAACATATGGCTCAGGTGTATTGCGTCATATTGGTGATCTAAACAAAAATATGATGTTTATATGAAGAAAGGCAGGATAAGTATTTTTTAGTTGCGTTTGGATGGATCAATTTGTAGTGAAGGCACATTCAAACTATATAAAAGGGATGCATCCTGTTGCAATCCACATTTAAGCTATAAAAACTAACTCTAAGCTATCTTCTAAATAATTAAGTCCAAATTCATTTATGTCAAATCCATATATTTATATCCAAATGCAACCTTATAGGTTTTAGGATCTCATTATTGCAATTTTCCTTTTATCTAACATTCCTCCTATGTACTTAATGTGAATCAAAGTATAATGATCATTCCGAATATTTGGTAAAGAAAGTTATGCGTACTTGGAAAGTTTGCAGACACTGGCCTAACGGCTGATTAACTCCTTATTGCAAGTGTTGCTCTTCAATTTTATTTGAGTGAAACCCTTTTTTAAAATGAAGGTTTCTATAAGAAATTATTTGGTATAAATTCCAGTAACTTGATCAAAACCATAAAGAAAATTAGTAATAGTTTTTGTTCTGGTCCATTGATTTTAAAGCACAGGATGTAATATCCAGGTTTTCTTCGATTTGTGGGGCAAGATGGTATTTCTCAATCTAGCATACATTTTGGTCAATTGTTCTGTGTGCTACTTGACATATTTTGATCTAAATTGCTGCTATATTGTGTAGTTCTTTTTTGATCGGCAACAAAATAAATTATATTAGAAACTACTATGTTTTTTAATGTTTTTACTTAGTGAATAAGTTCTTTTTAACCGGCCAATTCAAGTTATTCTTTCTTATCTATTTTTTTAATTTTATTTTGCTAAGCTATTTGAGTAACTTCAATTGCAGATTGACGAGGAGATTCTTCTAGAAGTTGTTGAGATGGGATTTGACAGGAATGTATGCCCTTGTTGATTCTCTACGCAACCGAATACAAAATGAGGTATCCATTTGTGATTTTTAAATCTGTATTTCCCTCCTTTTTTGAGGCAATGGCCATTGCTTGGTGTGACTGTAAAACTCTAGGCTGAGAAAACATGGGTTTTGAGTTTGTAGACAGCTGCTTCATGCAAATGAAGCTGGAAGCTCGGTCTGTACACACCCATTCTCCTAACAAACACTGGGTTATGGCCTCTGTCTTTATAATTTTAAAAATAAACATTTCATTTTTTCACCATGTTTCAGGGTACTGTTGCATACTATTTGCTATTAGACAACCGATTTCGTGTTTCCAGTGGCTATCTTGGAGCTGAGTTCCAGGAGTCTATGGTGAGCATGTGATTGTAAACCAAATATTGGGTGCTGAATTTTCGTTATGTTTTTGATCTCTTTATGCTTAATATTTTTTTTATTCTTTCTTCCACAAATGAGGAAGCATTTATAATTGATGCTTCATGTTGGATTAGATTCATAGCCTTATGGTACTAAGCAAATAAACTATATCTGGTCTATTATGTTGTGTAGACAGATTGTCAATTTGTTACCCTTATCTTTCCTCTAAATCAAAATAGTATTATGAGAATGTTTTCTGCATATTTTGTAGGAGTATGGTTACAACCGCAACAGTCCAAATGATTCTGCTGCTTTAGCTGTGGGCCAACGTTCTCCAGGATACATGGATTATCAAGGAATCGGTTCAAGGCCCCAGTTCCCAGTTGAGAGGAAATGGGCTCTTGGCCTACAGGTTAAGTGTGTCTAGTCTCATTCTTATCATTTTTAGTATTGGAAGATGTCGAGAAACCAACCTTGCCCTACATGTGGGCCAATAAATGGGGGGATTGACGTGACTCGCGTTCTTGTGTGAGGTCAATGCTTCCATCTACATCTGGTGCAACTTGACTGGGATTTTATAGGTTGAGATGATTGAAGTGCAGAGGAAGGAGAGAATTAGAGGAATAGGTTTTGAGTATATAACCAACCGGCCACCTTAGCACATATTAATATTAAAACTATAGTACCCTCAAAATAACATAAATATAATAATAGAAACACACTAATACTCTGACAGATTTAATTTGGTCCCATTACTGTCATAAGAGGTCTTGGGATCAATCATATCACATTGGGTGTGGCTCATTTCATTTTCAATAGTTGCAGGTTAAATGGTTTTTGTCATCACCCAATTTGGATATGGTAATTCTTAATTCACAAGTATTGATCATCTGCCAGTTTTTTTGTTTGTTGGACAGTCTCGAGCCCATCCTCGTGAGATAATGACAGAGGTTCTCAAAGCTCTACAGGAACTGAATGTATGTTGGAAAAAGATTGGGCACTATAACATGAAATGCAGGTGGATTCCTGGCATTCCCGGTCATCATGAAGGCATGATTAATCCTATGCAAAGTAATCATTTCTTTGGGGACGAATCGACCATCATAGAGAACGATGGTGTTAATAGGACACCCAATGTGGTCAAGTTTGAAGTGCAGGTAAGTTACCCTTCTTACCATTCCTTTCAGTTATGGTTGCAATCTTCCATGAAAGCTCTAGAACTGATGTCACTATCTCTATTTTTGTGAAGCTGAAACCAGTCACACTATTTGTATAGTGAATATGGCCTACCCTTGTGAAGCATGCATACATAAAAAGTGAAACAAGTGTTCGTTTTTGCAATTCTATTAGGGAAAAAAGCAAGAATTAGATAATACGATTGGATGCCCCGCCCAACCTATAGTGTTTTGTCATTTTAGTCATGGGGAGTGTCGAGCAACGTATATGAAAATTTTTACACTTTGTTTCCGTCAAATACTTTTGTTGGGATTATATTTTTGCAAGCACACCATTGGATTTGATGTCCATGCCACGCTTTTAATGCATACCAAATATCAAGTTGATAAACTCATTTTGTTCATCATACGTACAATTTGGAATGCAATTTGCTTGCTAAATCTTGCAATCATCAATCTACTTGATATTTTCTGTGCATGAAATGGACACTTCTAATAATGAACTCGACAAAGGGATGGTTCTTGAAAAGAGGGGTCAATCGATAAAAGTTGCTGTTAACAATCCTTCATATTTGCAGCGTTTGTTCACATTTATCCTTATGTGGTGGTTTTTCTTTAGCATTTTCCATGATTGCAATCCTTGGATTTTTTGTTTACAGCTTTACAAAACTCGCGAAGAGAAATATCTGCTTGATCTACAGAGGGTCCAGGGCCCACAGCTTCTATTCCTGGATCTTTGCGCTGCTTTTCTTTCTCAGCTCCGGGTTCTGTAAAACGAGAAGCCGCCTGACGAGACAGATGCCTCTTGTCGGCGAATCTCACCATGCTTCTGAAGAATAACTTAAATGCCTGTAAATAACCGGTCTTTCTTTCCGTTCAGTTCTGCGCTCTCTGAGCCAATCTTTTTGTTGGATTCAGTAGTAGTTTAGGCTTCTGCTATGGCATGACAGTCATTTTGAACCAGTAAGTTTGGTTAATGTTATTAATCCTTAAGTTTCTATGAATTTCTAATTAAACTTTCTTTTCTATTCTTGTATGAGATTCTCATTCTGCCTCTTAATTCCTGCCTTCCAAACATAGTGAAGAAGGAGAAGAATATTGCTTCGTCTATTTCATGATATATGAATGGATCACATCTTTACAACATTTTTGTATTCACATTTCAACTCTCTGAAATGGTTTCCAACAATTTTAGTCGATTTGCGCTTTGGTATGTCAAAATGATGAATTTATTGCAAAAGAGAACAAATGTTATGATGGAGTGATCATATTTTATTTCAGTAAATCACATATTCAATTTGTTCTATTTTTTTTAACAGCTTTCCTAACATGGTTGCGTGAAAAAGCCAATAGTTTCATCACATAAGTTCCAGATTTATCAATTTCCATCTCAAATTCTATGATACTCCTGAATTTCATTTTTTAAATCCCTAAAATCAACTTGGACTAGTCTTTCTATGAGAAATATCAGAGGTCTGAAACATAAACTGAAGTCCTTTTGAGTTCTTTGCCAACTTGTACAGTTGGTACTTACTAACAACTTTCTCCATATATGTTAGTGGGTGTTTGGAATTGCCTTTTTTATTGATTTTTTGTTTTGTTTTGTTTTGTATTTAATGATTTTTTATTTAAAAAAAATTATGTTTTACATTTGGTTGCATTCTTAAAAATAATGTACTGTGGTGTATTACTACTGGTGATGGTGGTAGTAGCTGAGAGAATGTTTTTAATGTCTTAAAAATAAAAAATAAGAAATTTATATCTACGTAGGCTTGTTTTCTATTAAACACGATAATCATTTTTATTAGTTTTTTGTTGAATCTAATGCTTCTCATTTTTTGGCTCAAACAAACATAACATTAAAACAAGTCCCTTGAAAATTATTAAAAAAAAAAAGAAGTGAAACCCAACCTCAAAAACATTTTACTATTGCAATTTTCCAAACCTTTTGTTCCATAAATGTGCGTGATCATCAACAATTGCAATACTAAAATAGTGGTTACGTATGCATTCAAGATCAATCAAAGAAAAATAAGTGATTCCCAAAGTACATCAAATCATCTGTGTCAAAGATGAAAATTAAGCCCAGAACCCTCAGTTTTTTTTCTTACACTTGCTTTTTTTACAGTTGGTAAGAAGGGAAATACATAAATAGAAAACTGCATCGCGCAACAGATAAAACAGTATTGATTACTGATTTGATTAGATCATGGAAAGTTAAGAAAATATCGAATGAGTTAATTAACAAAACAGATTGGAGGTAGGTCGAGGGAGCTCCATAGCGACAATTCGCCATCATTGCTATCTGTTGAATTTGATTCATTTTCCTCCTCTTTCCTCCCCGCCTCTTCACTGCTATCGCTCTCCACTTTCTCCTCCTCTTTGTTCATCTTAGTACACGCATTTCGCAAATTAGTCAACTGATCAGGCACTCCTGATCTCCTCTTGATACTACTTTCCGGTCCAAGCTTCAACCTCAGACACTCAGTTATCCCATTGAACGCATAGAGAGAAGCAGAAAACTTGCGCTCATATTTCATCCTCTTCATCACCTCCCTAACCATCGATGGCTCGTCTCCATGATCAATTTCCTGCTCAATAGGCTCCACAATCTCCTCAGCAATCTCAAAAGGTGAATAGTAACATGATCCAATTTCATCAACAAAATGGAAATCCACAGCTCCCAAATCACTCCCCTCTTCTTCTTCTTCACCATCTTCTTCTCTCTCGCCTCCTTGATTCACATCACCACTACAAGACTCGCCCACATCACTCACCTCATAGTTCTCTTTCTCACCACTCAAACATGACTCAAAACTAGTGGTATTTGTGCTATTTATGTAATATTCACCACCACCACCAGTACTGAAACCAGTGTTGGTGGTGGTGATCATGTTGTTGTCGTTGTTGTTGTTGCCAATGGAATAATAGAACTCTTCTTCTTCTTCGGGTTCTGGATCATTAAGGAAATCAGCGAATTGGGTATCTGAAAATTCGCTCGCTTCGTCTTTAAATTCTTCTTCTTTTTGCAACTTTTGATCCGGGTTAACAGGTAAATTGGCAACCAAAGAGTTGTTTCTCGTTTTGAGCCTGTGGAGGAGGAGATTGGTGATCTTCGAGGGAAGAGCAGGGGTTGAAGAGGTAGAAGATGATGAAGAACAAGGCCAGAAGTTGGTTCGAGTGTTGGCACCGCGAAGCAGGCAAGCAGCCTCATCATAGGCCCTGGCTGCTTCCTCAGCTGTGTCAAATGTGCCTAACCACACCCTAATCTTCTGTATGGTGTCTTTAATCTCAGCCACCCATCTGCCTGATGGCCTCTGCCTCACCCCCACAAACCTCTTCCGGGCCCTCCGGGCCCCATCAGTGGCTTCCTTCACCATCTCATCCCAAGCTAAGTTCCCTTCATGATCAGAGTTTTTCTTCTCTGCCCTTTCTTCGCTTGCCTTTCTCTTCCTACCCATTTTCTTGGTTTTCTTGTTTGTGTGTAAAGTCTTTTGGGTGTTCTTTCTTTTTGTTTTCTTGGATTGGAATAGGTGTGTGTTGGGTGAGATTGAATTGAAGATGTTGAAGGGTTGATTGATTTGGTTTGTGTTTGTGGTAAGAGGGATATAGATTATGTATATGTAGAGAGTGGAAGATGCTGTCAAAGGAGAGGAGAGAGCTGAAAGAGTCTTTGATGCTTGTTCATACTTCTTTATTCTTTTATTATTTTTGGCTTCATATCTAACCATATGGAGGTTTCTCTTTGATATGAGAGAGAGTATAATATTCGATCAGGATTCTCTGTACTCAAAATTTTTATCTTTTTATACTCACCACACTTCTAATTATACGATGCGATGAAAGTTTTGATACACGACCATACGACTTAAGAGTATATTTTATCCTTTTTGATATTAGAGTAAAATATTCGGTCGTGAATTTTCTCTACTCAAAATTTATATTTCTTTGTATCTAATGCACCCCTTACCGTATGATATGGTGAAAATCTCCAAACACATGAATCTCGACGGATTAGAGTGCATATTGGATATTGAAAAATATAAATTTTAAGTACTAAGAATTCCTAAACATTTTGCACTCTTTGTGAGGGAGCATGAATTTACGATGTGATGGAAATCTCAAAATAGAGGAATCTCAAGAGATTGGAGTGCATTGGGTATAGAAAAATATGAATTTTGAGTACAGAAAATTCTTAACAAGATATTTTACTCTCTCTATATAGGGAAGCAGGGATCTCCAACGTAGTGAAATTTGAAACATGTGAATCTTAAAATATGATCGTGCGGTTGAAAGTGCATTGAGTAATTAAGAACATAGAATTTAGATAAAGAAGATCGGAGAGAAATTTTGTTTTTTTGTTTTTTGAAGGGATACTTTGACCAAGCCAAAGAGTAGAGAGTCACGCTTTCTCAGCTATGCTAATAATTTAAGGCTCCATACGTTTTTTCTTTAATTAAGAAATGCAAGCCTGAGCTGGTTCTTATGCTGTTTACTTCGATTTCTTGTACAAATTTTTTGAATTGAAAATTACATTTTGAATTATTTTAATCAGATGAATGATTAACCTGTGATGCTGGTAACTAATTTTTTAAACTTTATGAGGGGACAAACATAGTAATCATCACTGTCTTGAAAGGGACTAATTGTACCCTTTTCATTTGTATGATATATGGAATTATTATTAAATTGAATGAACAGAAAGGACCCTCACAACAGCAACAATGGAAAATGGAATGGCTCCAAGATGCCCACAGCCGAAAATAAAAAAAAGAAAAAAATTCATGGGCTACAGTAGGGGCAGAGTAGTCATTTTGCATTCAGGAGATATTTTGATAGATTGGAGCCTCTATATGCATTTTAAAAAAAAAAACTATTCTTAAATTTAAATTTTGTTGATTTTATTTGAACACTTCAATTAATTCCCACCCCCCATCCATCCATTTCGCTCGCTGCTGGAAGATGCAAGAAAGAGGTCTAGGCGGTGGTCAGAGACGAGTGGAGGAATGGGCTAAGATGGATGGTGAAGGAGGCAGCAAGATGGGGGAGGCTATAGAGTGTGGTGGCCGAAGCGAAGAACGGGTAAAATGAATTTTAGAGGTTTATCCATATAATTTAACTTGAAAGTAAAATGATATTTAAAAAATTAAGAAAAAAAGAAGTATTCAATAATATTTTTTAAGATGTATTTAGAGAAGCATTAGAATATATTTCAAACATTATACTCTCTAATTAGGTCATTTTGACAGTTACTACCTATATTTTAATTTCATTAGAGAGCCTAATGCAATAGTCATTTTGCTTTAGCTCTTAGTATAATTAGAATTTAAAATTCTTGAATCATGTAAGCAATTAGGTGCAAATGTTAGAATATTCATCCATATTAAAAAAAAGAAAAAAAAAAAAAAAAAGAGGAAAATGATCGAACTATATAACAATTTATTTGTGGAGAACACACAATCGTATGGTAGCAAATTGACAAACATGCACCAAAACAAATGGTGTTGCTAAATTCACCCACCAAATCTTTCTTTGCACCCACATTCCTTTCTATACATTGGGAATCGTGCTTGATAAATGCAAGTAATTATGGGCTCACATCATTTGATGATCTTCAACTCTTAGCCAGGAAAGAATAATAGCAGGATGATTATATTTGGGTATTATCTATAATACCGTATATTGATATTGTACTAAATATATGATTTGATGGGCTCAAATTTGAGCATTAAAAAGATGAGCCCATATTTAATAGAAAAATACTTCGTGATCCGAATTTGTGTGACTTGAATAGTTTGAATATTTCAAAACGACGATATTTTATCCCAAAACGATTTCGTTTTAACACATTCGAATCATTCGAGTCATGAATTTTTGAGCCACAAAGCATTACTGTATTTAATATTACTTACATATGTGTAAGACATGAAAATCACATATATTCAAGAGTTAGTTGAGATGTAATTTCGAATATCTAAATAAGTCATACAATAAATTAAATTTAAATTAATGCCATACATTTAAATTCTTCGTTTTTTTAAATTTATATTTTAGAGTGCTGCTATTAGCACATCTCTTTCTTCTTTGGACCCCCAACTTCTTTGAACCCCCATCCAACAAAATGAGGCCCCTCTATTCTCTCTTGCAACCCCCACCTTAATTCCAATTATACCCTCATTCTAACCCACCTTCCCAACCCAGCCATTGTCAGCTCCGGCCATAACCTCCACCGTCGGCGCCACTTATCGGTCAACTCCAATCCCTAGCATCTTCAGAGAACCTCAATCCAGAGCCACCGCCGCAAGCACTCTCTCTGTCTCTCTCTCGCACGCGCGACCATCGCCTAGCCACCATGGTCGGTCGCTGCTCATCCAAACTCAAATCGCAACGGCAATGAAGGCAACTAGGGTTTGAGGCCACAGATCTTGATGACAATTAGGGTTTGAGGTCACAGATCATGATAGCGGCTAGGGTTGAGATCTCAGATCACGACGACGATGGTGGTGGCTAGGGTTTGAGGTCACAGATCGTCGTCCCCGTCACCATCGCGCCTCCAAACCTTATCGACCCAACCATGCGTAGAGAGAGAGAGAGAGAGCAGTGGCGGTGGGGTTCGCGATTGGTAGGGGTGGAGATCGCGATTATAGTGGACATTGCAATTTTAGAAGAAGAAGAAGAGGGAGATGGAGGTGGCAATTGGAAGTGAGGGGCTGGCCGGCGGCCGGTGGAGGTGGTGTTGAGAGGGGTTAGGGTTAGGGTCTGGGTTTGAAAAATTAGGATTAAAAGGTGAGGGATAAAGGTAAAAATGGAATTTTATGTTGGGATATAATTGGAAATAAAAAAAATGAAAGCGGTAGGGATCCAAAGAAAAAAGGTAAGTGTTAATAGGAGCATTCATATTTTATGATTTAACATGAATCCAAGTTTGTCTTTCTGAAAATTAATGGGATTAGTTAGTTAGTTAATTTTTTTTTTTATTTTTAAAATATATGTACCTAGAATTTGTACTTTGAAAAGTGAGATATGGTATGAATTTAAAATTGGTATGATATAAGCCACTTTTAGAATTAATGTGGTTCATTAATGTAACTTTCTTAATAATAACAATAATAATTATTATTATTTTTTATTTTTTTAAGAAGGTGGGATTCTTAACCAACGGGATTAACCGATAGACCGGAACTCCTATACCTCGTTAGTAGGTCAGTGATTTGAATCGTCTGAGTATTGGTCGTATTACGCATTTATTTATTGAGACTTTCTTTCACTTTAAGAGATTTTTTTTTTTGATTATATATTATGTATTTAATTTTTATCACTATAATTATATTTATTGAATTTTATTGTAATGTTATATATGAATCAAATTAAAAATAAAAAAATTGAATTGTTGAAAAAATTTATAACACTGCATTGGATAGTTAACCATACAATAAATAAAAATATAAAATATAAAAAAAAATCCTAATAAATTGCTATGTGTCATTGGAGACGAAGGTCAAGAGAGACGGGTTTTCCAAAGCCTTACCACAATTAGCATGCCCCCCAAACCCACTAAAGCTGACACTAACATGTATTAGTTGAAGGGAATTCTACCGTACGCACTCTTCAACAAATATATCATATGCATTTTTGATTATATTATTTTTTTTAATTATAATTAATTTTTTGTTTTAATTATGATATTATTTTAAATATGATTCATTAACTCTTTAGTTATATCTCATGTTGTATTTAGTCATGATATATATATATATATATATATTTTTAGTTATAATTTAAAAATATGAAATTATGTTTTTTTTTTTTAATTATAAAGTGCACATGATACACATCTTTTAAGAAGCGTATCTCATAGTGTTTGCTGTTAGTTACATATGTTATATATATAATACAAATCTATTTTTCTAATATTATTTTAAGTTTTAATTGGAGTTTCATATATTAGCATAATTTTTTTGAGTGGGTAATATTAGCAAATTGTTACATTTTCTTTTCAACTTTGATTTTCTATGGGCGTATCGTCACACATTGGGGCCGAGAAAATGGCATTTACAGAGATTTACTTTACTGTTTTAATATTTATAATGAGTTTTTTTTTTTTTTTTTTTAATTTAAATTATTTATTTTTTGGGTCAGAATGACCACGATTAATTTGTTAGTAGTTAAATTATAATATAAACTAACATCTCTTTTAATAATGATAGGTGACCCAAAAAATCATGGTTCGAATGGACCCATCCAAAACGACGTCGTTTTGACATATTCGAGCTATTCAAGCTACAAAAATTCGGATCACCAAATATTTTTGCTATAGACTTGAAATTGAGATATCATCCTCTAAGTGCCCTTTCATGACTAGTGGAGTCGCTGCTTGGGTCTCATTAGGGTTTTATTTAGGGTTTTTTTTTTAAGGTCCCTCGTATTAAGATTTTATATCATAAAGGACATCTAATATTTTCATAATGTCTAAGGTCTCTCAAGTTGATCCAGAGAAAATTGGTCCAGAGAAAATTGGTCCAGTGAAAATTCACATCACAGAGAAAATTGGTCCAGAGAAATTCTGGGAAGAATTTCTCTGGACTTTTCTAGAAATTTCTCTGACCTTCAGGAGTTGTTAATGGAGGACAGAAAGTGCATACAACATCGAGCTGATTACCAAAAAAAAAAAAGAAACAATAACATCAGTGGGATTTATACAAATTAAGCA